ATAAACATTCGAGAATTATCTTTGTAGTCACTAGAACCTAGTTAATGTCAGTATTTGCATATTAGAGTAATCTATGTCCAAACACCTAGTGGTGTCTGATATGCCATACTAGATGTAGATTACAAGGGCTCCACTGACTACAGATAAACGTTAAGCCTGGATCAACACAAATATGCAGCACATACAAACACCAACTCAGGTGGTCTAACCCTGGACACATCCAAACCACAGAATCCAGCTGCACAGAATATACAGATGCAGTATAATGGTACCGTTTTTACAGCTGTATATGGCACACCTTGCCTTATTTATTTAGTGCATGAAGAACAAGCTGTTTTGGTATTGTCTATGTCCATTCAACAGGTTAACCACAGATGGTTCCTTCATCAGACATTTAGGTAAGTAGGACCATGCATGACACAAGGAAGGTACAAAAAGAAGAATCGCTTTAGTTTCCAAATTTAGATAGTTGTCATGTTGAACTTTCAGAGTCCTATGTGGAATGGGGTTCTGGGCAGGGGCGGACTGACAACTCATGGGGCCCCCGGGCAATAGGGGATCATGGGGCCCGTGTCCTTGCCCAAACTCAAAAACGCCTATGAAAAAGGTACCAGGGGCATCTCATGGGGCCCCCTACTGACCCCGAGCCCTCGGGCACTGCCCGAGTTTCCAAATGGTCAGTCCGCCCCTGGTTCTGGGGTATATTAGGCCAAACCACACTCTGAAATGAAACCCAATGCATATGGCTGGGGTAAGAATTGGTATATTAAAGACTGGAATGGCTGGAACATCAACTATCAAATCTAGAAATATCCATTGGAAGGACAGTTTGTACAACACAAAGCAACATAAATTTTTTTTCTACTCTAAGGTAGATTAGACTTGAAGGGGGCAAAATCATTGGTTGCGAAGGAGTACACAGAAAGGTCTATTACACGCAGCCCATGAACACCTGTCAGTGACTAATATATAACATCATCTTTTATTTAATATAGAACGTCATTTTTTATTTATCTAGGGACAGAACTCTTGCATGTATTTGTGAATACTTTTGGGGCTGAGGAGGGATTATGTCGTTGACCATCGCAGCCTTTTTAGGCAACTTAAGTCGGCCATAGGTGGATCGAAATTTGGCCAGTCCAGAAAGGATTGGCTGAATTTTGATCTTTTGTGTGTGTGTGTGTGGCCACTTCTGCTTGATAGAAGTCAATCTAACAATTGACTTCTGTTGAACGAGCTTGTTGGAAACATTTTCTTGACTAGTCGCTGCAGCCAATGGAATGCAGCCTCTGATCAGTGTATTCTGACAGAGATTCCCGCAAGGAGGATTCTTCTAGCTACCTCAATTGTGTGGATGGAGAGATCCATTAATTTTTCTTGTTCACACAGCTGGTTGAACAAAAAAGAAAAAAAAAAAAAAAGGAGCAATCTATGGACAGCCTAAGAAAAAAAAAGAGCAATGCAATGTCATTGTAAAGGGGAATGCATACAATTTTATTTACAAAACTGAACTCCAGGCAAACCGCAAGGGCACAAAAAAACCAAATGTTTTCTATTTACGTTGTTTACACTCTGATGCAGCCTTCGGGTAAGCTGTGTTGTACAAAAACGTAAAATCATGTTAGCATTTTTGTATCCTGCACCGCAGCTCCCCCGCAGCTCCATTTCTGTCTGTGCTTCTACGCACTGCTGCAATCAGCTGGGCTGCACAGAAATTAATGAAATATCATACTGTGCCATTTCAATGCAGTTAGAACAAAAAAGTAAAAGCAAATCGGGCTCTGTTCTTTAAAGGAGAAGTAGAGCTAAAGCTCTTTTTGCCCTACTTCTATGGGTCACAGGGGTGCACTTCATTCTGCATTCCTGTGACCCAAATATCAGCCGACAGCAGGCTAAACCTTGTTGTCAGGTGACGTCACAGAACCAGTGCAGGCTATGCAGGGATCCTGACAATAATGTCAGGATAAGTTCACAAGCCTGACCGGCAGCTGGCTTAGCCTCTCAGCAGGCTGCTGAGAACCTGCACCAGCCGCTCCCATCCACTCTACAGTTTGGTGCTCCAGTGAGTACTAGAGGGGCAGAGCACAGAGCAGTGACTAACAGTCGCTGCTCTTTGCTCAGAGCGGACCTGAGAACTGAACAATCACTGGTCTTCGATAGTTCTGTTCTCGGTGTAGAGGCTGCAGTAGACAAATGCATCGGATACTGCATCCACCTAGGTGAGTACGTTTTTTTCTTTTTTAATCCCGCACTTCTTTTAAAAGTACACGGTACCACCAGCCAAAACTAATACTTCCCATGTGACAAAATGCAGCGTTTTACCACGCAGGAAGCAGGATATTAATCATTGCAGAGCTGCATTAGTTTGTTTCTTTTATGTCTGCCTGGAGTTCAGCTTTAAATTGGCTCTAAAGGCTTAAAGATTTTTACCTTCATGCACTCTCTGCATTACGGTAAAAAAAACCGTCTGTGTTGCATGATCCCCCCCTTACTGGGGGTGGGTGGGGGGCTGTAATTAGCTTAAAGTTGGCCATAGATTTTTTTGTTTTTTTCATTCACCAAGCAGGCTGAAATCCCCTTCACTAAGGACATTGTTTTCTGACAGAGGGACTTGCTGCTGTCAAAATACATTATTTAATGGTTGCAGCAACTGATCCACAAAAGTTTTCTAGCTGTCGACCGAAGTCAAACAATGTCGAGTGGGGACGGCCACACGTTGACCAAATTTGGCCGGTCCCAGCTGACCCAGACAAATTTCAATCCATCTATGCCCAAGCCAGATGTGAATAATTTAACTGCATACTATTTTCAGCTACACCTCTGGGGAAACAGGGCAGACTGGGCTCTAGGTCACGGTAATGGGACACTGCTGTAGCCAGTGGCCACCTGAGAGACAACTGAATCTAAAGCAACAGGAATGTAGATGCTTGCAAAGACGTTTCATGGTAACCGTTCAGGAAAATCTTTAATGCCCCTCCACTGTTTAATCTGCTTACATGTTGCCTTCCCTCGTTTCTTCATACACTCCTCGGCAACATGCTAAATGCTCTAAAATAAAACCCATTTTATTGTATACCTTTTTTGAACCAGTCAATGATGTCATCAGTGGGTCTCTGTACTTCTCTATATCATACAGGCAGATCATGGCTGGTGGGAATGGCCAGCACAGCTCCCTGGCTCAGTACTCCTCTCAAGAGCCCTCAACCTTGATTGAAAGCAGTGGGATGGCTCTTGGGAAGAGTTGTGTAAATAACAAAATGCCTATTTTATTTATTTATTTCAGGTACTTATATAGCGCCATCAATTTATGCAGCACTTTACATATATATTGTACATTCACTTCAGTCCCTAACCCTCAAGGGGCGTACAATCTAAAGTCCCTAACTTACATTCATATACTAGGGCCAATTTAGACAGAAGCCAATTAACCTACCAGCATGTCTTTGGAGTGTGGGAGGAAACCGGAGTACCCGGAGGAACATCACGCAGGCACAGGGAGAACATGCAAACTCCAGGCAGGTGGTGCCGTGGTTGGGATTCGAACCAATAACCCTACTACTGCCAGGCGGAAGTGATAACCATTTAGCCACTGTGCTGCCCCCTATTAATAGAGGAGTATCAGTCTGGAGGAGTGAGCATTCCTAGGTAGGCTACATTTGCATGCAGACTGCCCTATATGAAAAACCCCATGGTGTTGGGCCTCCATGGCTGAAGAACAAAAAAAAACAATAAATTAATAGAGGTGGGCCAGGGACAGTCAGGGTGGGGAGAAAGGAGTTAGATGATACTGGACATCCTCCAACCTGGAAATGAGGTGGGCTCTACCTGACTTGGTGCAGCATCTTCTAATACACACTGTGAGACGCTCACAATGAGCAGTAAAATCAGAGTAAGCAGCTTCAGTACAGGAGAGGAGCCGGTACAACTTGGCAAGACTGAGGAGAAGGCTGGATTTTAGCTTTGAACCTTAACTACTATGTGCCTTGCTTGTTGTCTGTCAAAGATGTTGGTGTTCCTATCATCCTCTTTCCTGGAAATTGTGGACAGCTGCTGCTTTTGCGCACTGCGACAGGCACACTTCACACCAGCCGAGAGCAGAATAAAAGAGATGTCATCTTGGATGTGACAAAGAAAGCCACTAATTAGGCAATAGTGAAATCTGACGATGATTTCCAGTGTTACATAGTGAACTGAAAGTTTGGAGGAATTTTCCCATTAAAACCAAAACCTCCAAGTCTTCCTTGCTAAAAAAAAAAAAAAAAAAAAAAAAAAAAAAATGGAGACATAACAAAAGAAAAAAAAACATAATTTTATAATTTTGTATATAAATAAAATAATGAACTGAACACTACTTATCTCAATGTGAAAGAACGTGTAACCATTATTTATATATGTATATTTTTTAAGACCAACTCCAGCCATAAACGTTCTGTTAGTCTGACATGAAGCAGAGAGGGGTTTGAAATTTTTGTCAGATTTTAAATGCTGCCCGTGTCCCCATTGAGGAGATTTTTCTTCTCTTCCTGCCTTTCTCTGACACCCATGACCTGCATAGGAAGTAAGGGTGATCTAAAAGAGCACAAACTGACAGGGGTTGTAAACCTTCTTCAATCCACTAGAAAAAAAAATGTGTTTTATTTTGCTGTGTGCCCCCCCCCCCCCCTCTTGGGGCTGGGAGGAGGGAGGTGTTTCCATCACTTAAATCTAAAATAAGACAGGAAGTGAGAAGAAATCACCCCGAACAGTACACAGTAAATAGCTGACCAAGGCTTTATCCTTTCCCTACTCGATCCAAAACTACAAAACGTTATGGCTGGAGTTGGGCTTTAATAAGCATGGGCTATGATGGTGATGGCTTGGAAAAGCTGTATCATCAGGCTAGTCAGGAAGTAACCCCCAATGGATTATCTTTTTGGTCGGTCCATGTCATCAATAGCTGAGAGGAGCTTTTGTCTGGCCTTTTTATTTATGTGGGAACCAAGGCATACATTCACCAAGTTGGTTAGCTGCTTCGTGGAATATTCCTATAAAAAGAAAGAGAGAAATACTGAGTATCAATAGATCAGACATCTGGTGGACAACACAATGTAATTTCTGAAGACAGTGCACCCAATTAATGAGCCAACACAAACTTTTAATGAGGACCTGTCAGCTCTGAAATGATCTCATTATCGGCTAATGAAACCTACTTTCACAGCTGTCTCTCTATAGGAAAGCTGACCTGACTCTCGGGTGGCAGTCTGTGGACATCTGCTTGACATATGTCTGGATTACGGTAATAAGACTTCTGTCTAACCACCCTCTATCCTTTCTCCATCCCCTCTAGTATGAAGATCGTGAATTAGGACTTCCCTGTTTGCATACGTTTTCTAAATAACAAAACCAGAGTCTGTGACAAAACGATCCTTCTTAACCACTTCCAGTCCGGACCCTTTCACCCCCTTCCTGCCCAGGCCAATTTCCAGCTTTCAGCGCTATCACACTTTGAATGGCAATTGCGCGGTCATGCAACACTGTACCCAAATGAATTTTTTAGCATTCTTTTAAGACAGATAAAGCTTTATTTTGGTGGTATTCATTCACCACTGGGATTTTTATTTTTTTTGCTATGTAAATTAAAAAGTCCAAAAATGTTGAAAAAAAGTGTTTTTCTTATAAAATCTTGCCAAAATTTATTCCGTTATATTTTTAGTAAAAAATAATAACCCGAATTAGCTTATAACCAAAAATTATAATTTTTAAACATTTTTTTTTTACATTTTTTATATTATTTTTTTTTACATACTGTCACCCTAGCAGTACAGTATCACCATGGTGACATTGTACTACTTGTGGGGGGTGATGAAGATTTTTTTTTTTTTACACTGATTGCTTTTACACCCATACAGGCTGTAAAAGCAATCATTGCTCCTTCTCTCTAGCTGCATTTTTGCAGCCATTGAGAACTACTGAGTGAGCTGTGATTGGTCACAGCTTGTCACATGTACAAGGCTGTTGTGAATAACCTTGTACCATATGACCTCTGTGATCATTCACAGATTTCACACGTAGTAAGCAATGATGTCAGAAGTGACATCTTGCTTACTACTCTGCATGTGATCACTGATTGGCCAATCAGTGATCACATGATCGGGACCTCGTACAGAGGTCCCGTCCGACAAACGGTGTTCCACTGTGATTGGAGTCATTCTAGACTCCAATCTGTCCTTCCAGCCCCAAGTCCAATCACTAACAACTCATGCAGACTCCACCTCCGCAACATCGCCAGAATACACCCATTCCTAACCCCAGAAACTACTAAGCAACTCATCCACTCCCTCACCATATCACGACTCGACTACTGCAACTCCCTCCTCACTGGCCTGCCTCACCACAGGCTATCCCCGCTTCAGTCCATCCTGAATACAGTGGCCAGACTCATCCACCTTACCAACCGCTCCGTATCCGCCACCCCCCTCTGCCAATCCCTCCACTGGCTTCCGACTGCCCAACGGATCAAATTCAAAATGCTAACGCTGACGTACAAAGCTGTCCATAACTCTGCCCCCAAACTACATCACTGACCTAATATCCAAATACCTCCCAAAACGCACTCTCCGCTCCTCACAAGACCTCCTTCTCTCTAGTTCCCTGGTCTCCTCCTCCCATGCCCGCCTCCAGGACTTCTCCAGGGCATCACCCATCCTCTGGAACTCCCTACCCCAATCCATCAGACTATCGCCTACTCTCCTCTTCTTTAGGCGCACCCTGAAAACCCACCTCTTCAGGGAAGCCTACCCCGCCCTCTGCTAATTGCCGATCTCCTCCACTCTTCCTACCACTCCATCCCCCACAGCTTTTCCTCCCGTACCACTATCCCCTCCCTCCTAGATTGTAAGCTCCAAGGAGCAGGGCCCTCGAACCCCTCGTGTATTGCATTGTATTGTTACTGTACTGTCTCGTGTATCCTCTCCCATTGTAATGTACAGCGCTGAGCGAACTGTTGGCGCTATATAAATACTGAATAATAATAATAATCCCACTTGTTTGTGTGGATGGAGGAATCTGCCCAATGGTTGAACTGTGTATGGCCAAGCCTTACCCTGTATCCTGCCTTTATTAGCAAGAGAAGTTCTTGCTTATCTCCTGGATATTCTGAACTTGAGTAAAACAGCTGCATTTCTTTTACTGTGTCCACAAAGATACAATTAAAAGCCCGAGCTTCAAAAACTAGCAGTGTCCATGACAAGAAGCAGTTCTCAAATCTTTTGGAAATGTCATACCTTGCATCAAACTCATTGATGAGTCATTTATTTCAAAACCGACCAATCCCTTTTAAGGTGTCAAAGAAGAATTCCATTAGCAGTTTCACACAGGAATTGTCAGGCTCTTTGGCTATTTGGGCTCCTGGATTATGTCTAGGCCGGCATGAATCACCTAATGCTATGTTGTATGATGCTCACCCTGTGCTCCTTGATCCATCGCTCCATGTCGTTCTCAGTCAGGTAATAGGCCTTGATGTAAGTTTCCACAAACTCCTTATCAGGAATGGGCCGGATATCTGTCAGTTTCTCCAGTTTCATCAGGAACTGCTGGTAATCCAGCTGCATCAGAGCTCGCCCTTCATTGCTGCACTTCTTCACATTGGCGTACCTAAATGGGATGCGACCAACTCTATTAGTATTTCAAAGCAAGTAGCTCACGGTCATTGAAGTGAACCTGTAGCACGTTCACTGTAAAGAGAGTTAAAGAAAAAAACGTGGGTACCCACCCCTCCACAAGTGTCCTGTTAGCGAGTCGTATACAGTGTTCCCAGAGGATATTCGACACAGGCAAAGGCATACGGACGTGCTTTGACAGCTCAGACAATTTCTTGTTAAACTGTTCGAATTCCTGTAACATAAGGAGGTTGTTATATTATGATTGTATACAACGCCCTGAGTAAAAGCCTAAATAACACCCGTGATATGGCAACTGCTGCTTTTATGTACTGTATTTCCTATTCTGTTCAAAGCAGCAGGAAGATACAGAAAGGCTTCTTGACAGTAAGAGCTGTGAAAATGTGTAAGACTTCTGCAGGAGTTAGTTCTAGGCTTTAAGTGGTTGTAAACACTTACATATACCCAGTGAAGCAACTGGCCTCAGGTGGCACCCAGAGATGAAATAAGTCTTCCTACAGAAAAGCAGGGTGTGGGGATATGAAGTTATACAGTTCGGAAAGCTGACTGGAGGGAAAGGAAGGGAAGAGGAGGGGCGGGGAGGGAAGGGGAGAGAAGGAAAGAGGAGGGGAGGGAAGGGAAGGGAGGGAAGAGGAGGGGAGGGGAGGGGAGGGAAGAGGAGGGCAGGGGAGGAAAGGGAAGAGGAGGGCAGGGGAGGAAAGGGAAGAGGAGGGGAGGAAAGGAAAAGAGGAGGGGAGGGGAGGGGAGGGGAGGGAAGAGGAGGGGGGGAGGGAAGGGGAGGGAGGAGGGAAGGGGAGGGGAGGGGAGGGGAGGGGAGGGGGAAGGGGAGGGGAGGGAAGGGGAGGGGAGGGGAGGGACTCCCCCCACCTTTACACAGCACCAGAGCTAAAGCTGTCAATCACAAGCTGTGTGCTGAAGATCCCTCCCGTCACCTTTTTACCTCTTGGTGTCAGGAAAACTTGTCAGGAGTGACTCATGCTGATAGCAGGAAGGAGGGCAGCAGACTGAAATGACACTTAGCGCTATGGATTGAGACAAGTAAACACTATAGAGGGATATGATGTAAATGTACAATATATATGTAAAGTGCTGCGTAAATGGACGGTGCTATATAAGTACCTGAAATAAATAAATAAATAAATATGCTTTGTTCATATTTAATGTGTGAGGTTTACAACCACTTAAAAAAGGGGCTGGATATATTTCCCAATACACACAATATAATTGGCTGTTTATAAAAAAAAAAGTAGCACTGTACATTGTTGATCCAAAGAATTATCTAACTCTCTCATTGAATCAGGCAGCAGTGGTTTTCCTTGTTGAAGCAATTAAACTACCCTGTATAGGTGTTGCCTACCTATGGATCATCTGTGGGTCTGGAGTCCTGAGGATGAATGGTCTGTAAAGGCCAACTTCAGGCTTTTTTTTTTTTTTTTTTTTTTTTTTTTAATAGTCCCCCAGCAATAGTTGAAAAATGAAAAAAAAACAGCTCTGGCTGCAACACTCATCTTCTTTATGGTGCTTGCTGACTAAAGAAATTCAGTTCTGCAACTAGATGTGCTCACTTTTCTGAGCTGAAGGAAACTGAGCTAAAGACTGAGGACATACTGTCAATGCAGGGTGTCATGGACCCGTCCCCTGATGATAAATCACCATGGCGCCCTGGACTCGCATTGTAATAATAGAGAGAGTCACACTGTAATCATGGCAATTATCCCTGTGTCAGTGAGAGAACTGCTAACAGCCAGGGGAACATCCAATGGGGACCCAGCATATTAAGAGTGACCACCCTGAAGACTTTGAAAGAAGTGATAAAAAAAAAAAGGTAAAATACATCCTGCAGGCGCAGAACTGGCAGCTGGGAGTTAGTGTGCCTGAAGTTGAGCTTTAAAGGATAAGTTCACCTTTTAGACAAAAAATGATAAATGCACAAATGATAAATGCATTTTTTTTCAGGTACAAAAATGTGCATTTATTATTTTTGCTCAAAAGGAGCCTGGAAAGCATTGCACCAGTTATCAGTAGATTGCTGATGCCATGCCGGTCTCCTGCAGACCTGTCAGAGTATCTGCTTGCCGTATGGGATGTACGAGGTGTACGGGATGTACGGCCAAGCAGATATTCCGACAGGAAGCTTCAATGAACTACCACAACGCTCCACAGCGCCATGGTAGTTAATTGAAAACTACAAGCCCACAGCCACTAAGGCAGTTGGGGACTTGCAGTTCATTCACAGAACTCTGTGAATGAGGGACGTGGCCGTGTGGGTGGAGCCCCAGATGGCCACGCTGTTTTCAAATCTGACAGATAGTATGGGGAAACCTTTCCCCGTATTGTTAGAGGGAGGGGGGGGGGTAGCAGGCACGGCTGCAGCTATGGGAACATGTTACATGTTCCCAAAGGTGAAATTATCCTTTAAAATAGAATTCTAGGTTAATGCTGTAATAAAGATGTATTTACATACCTGTTTTCAACCTGCTCGGGTCTTGATCCCCTGTGTCAGTCAACGGCGGGGCTGCAGGATAAATTAGAGAGCGCTCAACAATGGCTAAGAATGCCTGGAAGGGGTCATGTCACCCCTAGGCTCCAATGTCCCTGCTATTGTTGGCACTCCCTCCTTTCCCCTGCAGCCTTCGCTGATTAACACAGAGGAGACAGATCATGTGACCGGACAGGAGCTGGCTGAAAATCGGTAAATATATACATCTTTCTTACACAGCTTTGTCTTCTTGCTTTTTTGATACATCTTATGTACTCTCTTCACACACTAGCTACCGTGTTTTTCCCCGAAAATAAGACATCCTCCAAAAATAAGACCTACTTACAGGTCTCCTTCTGGGTGAAATATAAGGCACCCCCCCGAAAATAAGGCCCCCCTAGGCTCTGTCTCGGAATGAAAATTAATTTACCGTAAACTGGTTGCTAGGGCCGCCCCGACATGAGCCTAGCAACCAGTGACGTCACTGCTGTGTGGAGGTGGAGCGGAGGTCGGAGTGAGTGGGAGAGAGATGCGTGTAGAAGAACAGGAGGATCAGAGCGGACGGGACGCGGCGAAGGTGGTGAGTGCTGGTCTGTCTCTGGTGACACCGCCCTCATGATGACTGAAGGTTCTCAGTCAGTGGCAGACCCTGCTCCAGCCCAGGTCCAGGCCCCAGCCAGCCCAGTGACATTCCCCAGGCAGGCCCCAGGGGGGAAATGTCTGATAAAGGGGTGGGGGGGATGTCTGGTGAAGGTGTTCAGTGGCACAGGGGGGTGGGGGGGAGGGGGATCACTTAAAATGACACAGGAGGATCAGAGGGGACAATCAAAATGACACAGGAGGATCAGAGGGGGCAATCAAAATGACACAGGAGGATCAGAGGGGGCAATCAAAATGACACAGGAGGATCAGAGGGGACAATCAAAATGACACAGGAGGATCAGAGGGGACAATCAAAATGACACAGGAGGATCAGAGGGGCAATCAAAATGACACAGGAGGATCAAAAGGGGTTTCATGGAAAAATAAGACATCCCCTGAAAATAAGACCTAGTGCATCTTTGGGAGCAAAAATTAATATAAGACACTGTCTTATTTTCGGGGAAACAGGGTAGTCATCTATGATATTTGTGACCTAGTTGAGGTCTTTACTTTCTTTCAGAGTCTTTGAGAAGTATTGAAGTTTCATTGACATTGGGAGATGACAGAAAACAAATACGGTACACAACGCAGAGCTTAGAGACTTGAATGTGCGCTGTTAGTTCAATATAAAGATCCTGTGTAGTGAGGAAAGAATTACCTTCAATAAAGCATCAACATATACATTGTGCTGTGACATGATTTCCTTTACATCCCATTTCACGTTCGCCATAAGCACAAGTAATTGCTCATAATCAATAGCCTTCGCCGCTACGATCCAGTAAATTGGCTTGCGGAGCTCGCTGGCAGTGGACACAGTCTGCAAAATACATGTTAAGTGCAAGGAGTGTCAGTGTAATGGGATCAAAAACACTATATCTTTCATTTATGTCATAGGAATTAGCGAGACAGATGGAGTTTTCAGCGTTTTGTGATTGCTGGGAAAGCGGCTTGCAATACAGAACACACAAATTATGAAGCAATCCCGCTTTGAGATACCAACACGTTTTGCATTCCTTTGTGGGAAAGAGCTGCGGATAGTATGCCTGTACATTGAAAGATTCAAGGGATAACAGAAGCCAGTGGATGATTCCACTCACCAGTGACCTCTTAACCTCCCTAGCGGTTTTCCCGAGTGTAGCTCGGGGTAAAATTTCAGTACCAAGAGCGGTAACCCCGAGCTACACTCGGGCTTACCATGCGGCGTTCTCCGGGGGTCCCTGCAGCACTTACCTTGTCCTTCGCTCCCACGATGTGTCCCCTGCAGCGTCCCCGGCCATCTCCTCCGGCCGATGCCGGCATCCGGCTCCTGTGTTCCGGTCCCTGTGACGTCGGGACATACGGGCGCCGGAACGGCGGGAAATTTGAAATTTTTAAAAAATGTCATTTTTGCTGTCATTGCTGTTTCAATGCATTTCACATATATTTTGTCCCTACTGCTTTGTCCGGCGCCCTGCCTGCATTTTGACTGTTCTTTCCGCCTGGAAACATAGAAAAGTCCATGGCGTCCAAAAAGCGTCCCTTTACGTCAAAAGCGGTTTTAGACCGGCTAGAGAACAGCGATAGTAAATCAGAACCACTTGCAGAATTGAGTGATGATTCGTGGGGGAAATTCGTCATCAGACACTGAAAACGATTTTGCGACTTTGCTCAGCGATGTGCGAATTTGCCTCTGTATTTCAAATTTTAGTGTTTTTGGTTTGATTATATTATTGAATTAAATTTATTATTATTATACTATTATTTTTTATGATTATTTATTAAATTATAATTTATGATTTCGTGTTTCAAGTTTTATCATATCCGGAATGTTTACTAGACTCTTGTTTGTACAGATTTCAGGGAGTTATTCCTAAAAATTACAGCCTACAATAAAAACCTACATATTTCCATGCAAAAAAATGGTACCGCTTTCAGCACAAAAAATCGGAAAGAATCATACCGCCAGGGAGGTTAAACAAAAACTTTAAATGTTGGATGAAGTAGGTTCTTATCACGTCTGCACATAGCCCTTCCCCAAGTATGTATACTTAGGCCGTCACGCTCCCTGGTCTCCTCCTGGCGCTGTCAGAGCTCTTGCTGACAGAGTACATCACCTCTCTTATGTGACTCGGCCCGAGCTGGAGCAACCAATCACCAGGCCTGAAAACAGTGAAATATGGGGGGTTCCATGACATCATTACTCTGTGTAAGCTCCTGCACTAATCGACACAGGAGCTTATACAGGAAACAAAGGAAGCAGCAACGGAAGGATCCAAGGTAAGTATAACTGTTGGGGGGTGACTATGCACAGACAGTGCGCCTATTCACTGTCTGTATAACTGATCGTTTTTTCATATTCCATAAGATCTACATAAAAACAAAATGGTTTAATTATTCCACCTGCTACAGTCCCAACGGTAAAAAAAAAAAAATCTTAAATTTTTATAATCAGATTGTTTTTCTCTGATAAAAGCTTTAACTTCCCTGGCGGCATGATTATGTCAGGAATTTTGTACCAAAAGCGGTACCATTTTTTTGCATGGAAATTTGGTGTTATGTATTGTAGGCCTGCAATTCTTAGTAATTACTTACTTAATAAATACTCATAAAAAAATAATAATATAATAATAATAAATTTAATTCAATAATATAATCAAACCAAAAACACTGAAATTTGAAATATAGCGCCAAGTTCGCACATCACTGAGCAAAGTCGCAAAATCGTTTTCAGTGTCTGATGACGAATTTCCCCCACAAATCATTATCACTCAATTCTGCAAGTGGTTCTGATTTACTATCGCTGTTCTCTAGCCGGTCTAAAACCGCTTTTGACCTAAAGGGACTCTTTTTGGACGCCATGGACTTTTCTCAGTTTCCAGGCAGAAAGAACAGTCAAAATGCAGGCAGGGCGCAGGACAAAGCACTCGGGACAAAATGTATGTGAAATGGTTTGATACAGGAATGTTTTGCTATGAAATAATCGTTTTAAAAAAAATGTCATTTTTTTTAAATTTTCAAATTTGCTGCCGGTTCAGGCGCCCGTATGTCCCGACGTCACAGGGACCGGAACACGGAAGCCAGATGCCGGCATCGGCTGGAGGAGATGGCCGGGGACGCTGCAGGGGACGCATCGCGGGAGCGAAGGACAAGGTAAGTGCTGTAGGGAATCCCTGTGCAACGCCGCATGGTAAGCCCGAGTGTAGCTCGGGGTTACCGCTTTTGGTACTGAAACTTTACCCCGAGCTACACTCGGGAATACCGCCAGGGAGGTTAAAGTGACTGTAAATGCATTTGCAAGCTGCCCTGATTCTCCTCTTCTCGGATCCTCTGCCAGTGCCTACCATAGCAAGCAACTTTCTATGGGGGCACTCGTGCGGGCTCACTCCCAATCTGGCTCTGTGTGTCGACAAACTCACAGAGCGCAGCTAGGCCCCGACCCCCAGCTCTCTCCTCACTGGCTGAGATTGACAGCAGTTCGAGCCAATGGCTCCTGCCTCTCTGTTGAATGAGGAGAGAGAGAGCGAAGAGAGATGGTGCTCGCATGCACAGAGCTGGATCGACGTCAGGCTCAAGTAAGCATAATGGGGGGGGGGGGGGGGGGGCATGGGGGAGTAGCTGCACACAGACCGTTTTGTACCTTAATAAACAGAATGCATGAAGGTAAAAAAAAAAAACCCTTCAGCCTTTAGAACTGCCTTAAATGTCCTTTGGTTAGGGTCACCTATGAGCTTTCCATGTCTGCCATCTTGAGATAAATCTCCACTCCTAAACTGGCCATGTACTACTAATTTTTGGAACAAATATTCGTATGAAAATTCTCATCGGTACATCCGATGACCCCTGCTGTATTTTTGTGTTTTTTTTTAATATACAGTGCATTCAGAAAAAATTGACAGCGCTTAACTTTTGATTGAGAAATATATGCTGCAGAAATGTTTCTGTACCCTGCCCCAGATCTGTGCCTTGATACAATCCTGTCTCGGAGGTCTACAGACAATTCCTTGGACTTCATGGCTTGGTTTGTGCTCTGACATGCACTGTTAACTCTGTGGGACTTTATATAGACAGGTTTATGCCTTTCCAAATCATGTCCAATCAACTGAATTTCCCACAGGTGGACTCCAATCAAGTTGTGGAAACATCTCAAGGATGATCAGTAGGAACAGGATGCACCAGAGCTCAATTCTGAGTGCCATGGCAAAGGCTGTGAATACTTATGTACATGTGGGTTTTTCGTTTTTAATAAATTGCAAAGATTTCAAAATGAACTTCTTTCGCGTTGTCATTACGGAGTATTGTTTGTAGAATGTTGAGGAATAAAATGAATTTAATCCATTTTGGAATAAGGCTGTAACATAACAAAATGTGGCAAACGCTAAGCACTGTGAATACTTTCTGGATGGAGTGTAGTTCCCTTTTTCCGAAGTTTTCCGGATGATCAGTTAACATGCAGGGTGCTCACTGGATCTTCTCCTGGCTATGGATAGGAAAGTTGCCAGGATGACAGTGCGGCTTTCTGCATCATTACTGTATGAATGCAAGACGCTGTGGCGAGAGTCCGAGGAAGCTGCGTCTGCCCCTATTCAGCACAGTGCTCCAGAGAGCACTGGAGGGGCAGAGCTGAGAGCAGAAACTAATAGTCACTGTTCTTTGCTCTGAGAAGACTGAGAACTGAGTGATCAATGGTCATGTGATCGCCCAGTTCTTGGTCTTGTAGCCAATGTGAGACAGCAGCAGCATGACACTGATGCTGCAGCAGAGAGGTGAGCATGTTTTTTGTTTTTTTTTTATAACCACAAACTTTTTTAATTGGAATTGATCTAAACATTGAACATTTTTCAAAGGAATCTGTAGATGGCTTTAACTGCATATATTTCTCAATCAGCATTGCTTGCAATCTCCTTCACTGGACAGTACAGTCAGCATTGCCTGTAACCTCCCTCACTGTACAGTCAGCATAGCCTGTCATCTCCCTTACTGTACCAAAGCATCCTCAAATTGCAGGCAGGTGTACTGGGCTCAGGAGAAACACATCAAACATTCCATCACTGACCTGAGAATAGAACTGCTGCAGAAAAGGCTTTTTAGCAGACGGCATCACGGAGTCCAGATGTGCCTGCAGAGATTCAAACTGCTCCGCCAAGAAGACCCTGAAAAACAATTCTGTGGGTTATATGAAGCTCACAGAGCGAGGGAAGACACATGACTACACAGAGCCGGTGTATCTCCTCAATCAATGGATCACACGGTGCTTTTCACTATAATTGCAGGCTTTGAAAGCAATTGGCTCACAGATCCTTATCCAGTATGCAGAAGGAAGAAAAATCACAAGAAGCAGCTTGTGGCTAGAACAGTACATATTAAAGAACAGCCGGGAAAACAGTTTTGTGTTTGATTTCAATAAGCTGGAAACCTTTATAATCCTAATTTACACTGAAAACGAATGGTGGTGTCTTACAAGATTGTCCTTCACATATGGCAGAAGAGAGAAGTGACTATATACTGTACAGGGGCTGACTAATGCAGGCCATAGACGGGTCAAAAATCTACTGATTTTTCAGTCGAAAAAAAATTGGCTGATTTTCGCACCGTTAGTGGGTTATTTGGTCGACCGTTTTTTTGGGGTTTTGGTACATTTTTTCCAACTTTACCGATAAAAAAAAAATTACCAAAACCCGATAAAAAAAAATCAGCGAAAATTCAGTGTTTTTTTGCAACTTTACCGATAAAAAAAAAATTGACGATTGGACGATTTTGCCGGCAATGATAGGCAAATCGGCCGATCGTTTTACCAATAAAAAATCTGCGCATCTGAGCCGTGACCATCTGAGCTGTGACCTGCCAGAAGAAGAAAAAGAAGAAGAATAAGAAGAAGAATTCCAGTCCGCTATTATATTTTTTTTTAAAAGTCTTGCGGTTGCAACAATGTATCTATTTGTATCCGAATAAAAACATCTGTATCCGAAATGGATACATTGTTGCAACCGCAATACTTTTTCATGTCAAATATAATAGCGGAGCTCTCTGCAAGGTACAGAGGTAATTAAATGCCGATCTCTTTGCTTCTTTTCCCTGCTTTGCAGGGATAAGAAACCAAGAGATTGTTTCCTCTGTACAGAGCCCTGAGTTGTCAACACAGGGCTCTTGGATGTAATTGGACACAGCCGATTAGCAAGTCCCAGCCATGAACTATTGGACGAGACTTGCTGATAAACTCCTGCTTTCTACAATCACAGCAGGTATAGGCAAGGGGGGTTGGGGGTGCATAAGCATGCGCCCTAAACCCGGAAACAGGCAGCTACGTACCAGTAGTTCACTTTGCCTGCATGGGCGGCACATCCACAGTATATTTCGGGCAGGCAGTCTGAAAGTAGTTTATATGCCATTAAAGCTGTATTAAACCCAAAAACTAAAAAAAATTATTGCAGTTTACCAATCCTTAAAATCTGGTGGCCGCATTACTTTTCAGCCTTCTTTCCCCCTTTTTTTTCACCTGGTGATCTGGCCAATAACAAACTTCCTGCCTTAAGCTGGACAGATCCATGTGTAGCCTTTCCTGTTCAACAGAAGTCAATTGTCAGATGGACTTTTGTCGAACGGACAAGTTGGAAAAGTTTTGTTCATCAGTGGCTGCAACCACTTATCAATGTATTCCGTCAGTGCTGGGTGCACCTCTCAAAATATAATATGGAGGGGACTGTTTGGCCAGGTTTAGGGTGCCTCCACTCTAAGGAGAGACATCCTTAGACAGCACAATGTCAGTCTAATAGGGTAGTGTTACCTGCATGAGCAGATTTAGATGGACTTGATCAACAAATTAAAGCTGAACTCCAGCTAACACTTTAAAAGGTTACAGTTTTTCCTTTTGGAATACACAATTTACATAAATGAATAAAACCTGATCAGTGTAAGCATTCCCATCAGTGTTCACTGGTTTGTCTCAACCCTCTAACTGCTACTTTTGCTGGAAAGCTTGGTCTGTTAAGGGAAGTTAAAAAAAATTACAGATTTACTTTTGGGATCACCAGGTGAAAACCAGATAAAAAAAAAAATAAGAAAACTAATGCAGCCACCACATCTAAGGATCGGTAAGCTGCAACACATTACATTTTTGGTTTTGGGTTTATGTACCGCACACTAAGCTAACTCTTGCATCAGGGCTGAGGGCTCTTCAGAGGAGTACTGAGGCAGGTGCTGTAATGTTTTCAGGAAGCTCTGTACAGCACCTGCAGCTTCTCTCAGCAATTGCTGTCTGTCTGCATTGCAAGCAGACAGACTAAGGTGATCTCATCATTGGGTCTAATATAAGGTATGGAATGAAAACAGAAATGTAATTAGCGTGTTGATGGGGGTTCGGGGGCAGGGAGGGCAAAATACATGTAGATTAGAAGTGCTTGTAAAGAGTCAAGGTTTTTTACCTTCATGCATTCCATGCATGAAGGTAAAAAACCTTCTGTGTACAGCAGCCCCCTCCCCAATACTTACCTGAGCCTCGACTCGGTCCAGCAATGTGTATGAGCTATCCCAGGTTTCTCCCTCCTCATTGGCTGAGACAGCAGCAGGAGCCATTGGCTCATGCTACCGCATATCACAGCTAGTGAGCCAGAGAGAGCTGGGTATGGGGAGTTGGGGGGCTGAGCTGCGCCTGTGAGTGAATGGACAGAAATAGCAGCAGCTTGGGACCAAGCCTGCACTGGTGCCCTCGCCCCTCCCCCCAGAAGCGGCTTGCTGTAGGAGCACTCGGCAAAAGACAGGGACCATGAGCAATGGCGAGGAACCCAAGAAGAGGAGGATTGGGGCTGATCTGTGCAAAACCACTGCATAGAGCAGACAAGTATGACAGGTTTGATATTTAAAAAAAAAATCTGCCTTTGCAATCACTTTAAACTTCAGCTTAGGTCTGTTGTGATTTTCAGTTTTAAATTAAATGACCCATTTTAACTAACTAGCAGCCCTGCCAGGATGCAAAATGGTATCGTGGGGAGTCAGGCTGAGTGAGAGCGGCATGCCCTTAGATAAAATGCAGGAAGGATGCTCATTTCAATAACACCCTGCAACATCGTCAGCATATTAATCCTGGCTGACACAGCATGCAAGGTCTTCACAATGTAGCTGCCAAGTGAGCCCTTCCAGCCCAGTAAGTGGAAACCAGGCTGCTATAAAGTGACCTTTATTAACAGAACAAGATAAAAAAAAAAAAAAAAAAACACATTAAAGAATGTTGTAGCTTTTTAGCAAATCAACACAGAACAAAATATCTTTTATGAGTGCATTTTGTACACTTTATCTATTGCAAATACATCAGCAGAATATATGTCAAATGTAGAAAAGGGCTGGGGGTAAAACAGTGAGCATTCATCAGAAGTAAATTAGATGTTGTGAGAAAGTAGCATCAATGGCAATTTGTTATAGCAGGCAACTGCACCACAGAGACAGCAACACCACAGTTTAGGGTTTTCCGGGAAAGGGAATGAGGGTGGGAAGAGTTCTCAGACCTCTGTAAGCTCTAACTAGAGTGATGGAGTTTATATAGGGTTTCCTTTCCTCGCTCCTTCCAGCTACCTGGTGTCCAACACATGACCTGCCGGGCTCCTGTGTGCAGCACACTGACAGTGGGGCACCAGATAAATAAAAGTCTCTGCTCCAAGGTACCGGTCGCATTGCAACACCGGAGCAATGTAAACAACAGTTGAATTCAGCAAACGTCGAGTGTTTTCAGGAATGCCACATCCCTTCAAACCAATGTATAGAGAATAAATATGTGGATTAGGATTTTACAAGCATCCAGACTATTATAATTCATAAAAGTAAAATCTTTATTACATATTATAACACATCTATTAAAAATGACAGACACAAATGTTTTAATAAGTGATCATAGGTACAGTTTGGGTATGATATTCTCATATTCCAACACGTTTCAAGATATTCTCTTCTTCACAGAAACAGAAAAGTTACAGAAGAAGCCAGGGGATCACTGACCATTCATGATAAAAACATCACACTAGGGGAATGCCCACCCACTACCATGCAGCAGAACCAGGGACATCTTGCTTGAAAGTACACAGACACCACTCTTAGCAGATATTGAAGCTGTTCAACCATCAAAAGGCCGCAGGCTGGGGTAAAATATGAAGGCCCAACATTCTGCAGCAATTGGCAAAGATCTATCCCTAGATTATAATGCTCTCTCTGTCAGATACATAAAAGTCATCAGACATGCCCCACAGAGGTTCTTCTGAACCTTCTCGGTTTCCGTGAAGAAAAGAATATCTTGAAATGATTTGAAATATGAGAATACCTTACCAAAGCTGTTGTTCTGATCTTTTGTCGGTGTCATTTTTAATAGATGTGTTATAATGTGGGACAATAAAAACTGTACTTTTATAAATAGTCTGGATGCCTGTAAAATCCCAAACCATGTATTCATCCTCTATAAAAAAAGACAAAAGTCCATCCAGTTCAACCATTAAAAAAGAAAAAAAAAAAAAAAGTTAGAATCCTATACCCACAGTTGATCCAGAGGGAAGGCAAAAAAAACCCCAGCAAAGCATGATCCAATTTGCTCCTGCAGGGGAAAAAGTTCCTTCCTGATCCCCGAGAGGCAATCGGCTATTCCCTGGATCAACTTTACCTATAAATGTTATATCCAGTTATATTCTGTGTATCTAAGAAAGAATCCAGGACTTTTTTAAAGCAATCCACTGAGCTGGCCAGAACCAACTCTTGAGGGAGTCTATTCCACATTTTCACAGCTCTTACTGTGAAGAAACCTTTCCATATTTGGAGATTAAATTTCTTTTCCTCCAGACATAAAGAGTGCCCCCTTGTCCTCTGTGATGACCTCAGGGTGAATAACTCTATACCGAGTTCACTATATGAACCACTGATGTATTTATACATGGAGATCATATCCCCCCTTATGTATTATACATGGAGATCATATCCCCCCCCTTATGTATTATACATGGGATCATATCCCCCCTTATGTATTATACATGGTGATCATATCCCCCCTTATGTATTATACATGGTGATCATATCCCCCTTATGTATTATACATGGAGATCATATCCCCCCTTATGGTATGTATTATACATGGAGATCATATCCCCCTTATGTATTATACATGTGATCATATCCCCCCTTATGTATTATACATGGTGATCATATCCCCCCTTATGTATTATACATGAAGATCATATCCCCCCTTATGTATTATACATGGTGATCATATCCCCCTTATGTATTATACATGGAGATCATATCCCCCCTTATGTATTATACATGGAGATCATATCCGCCCTTATGTATTATACATGGAGATCATATCCCCCTTATGTATTATACATGGAGAGATCATATCCCCCCTTATGTATTTATACATGGAGATCATATCCCCCCTTATGTATTATGCATGGAGATCATATCCCCCTTATGTATTATACATGGTGATCATATCCCCCTTATGTATTATACATGGAGATCATATGCCCCCCCTTAAGTATTATACATGGAGATCATATCCCCCCTTATATTATTATACATGGAGATCATATCCCCCCTTATGTATTTATACATGGTGATCATATCCCCCCTTATGTATTATACATGGAGATCATATCCCCCCTTATGTATTATACATGGAGATCATATCCCCCTTAGGTATTATACATGGTGATCATATCCCCCTTATGTATTATACATGGAGATCATATCCCCCCTTATGTATTATACATGGAGATCATATCCCCCTTATGTATTATACATGGAGATCATATCCCCCCTTATGTATATAAATGGTGATCATATCCCTCCTTATGTATTATACATGGAGATCATATCCCCCCTTATGTATTATACATGGAGATCATATCGCCCCTTATGTATTATACATGGAGATCATATCCCCCTTATGTATTATACATGGAGATCATATCCCCCTTATGTATTATACATGGAGATCATACCCCCCCCCCTTATGTATTATAACATGGAGAGATCAAATCCCTCCTATGTATTATACATGGCGATCATATCCCCCCTTATGTATTATACATGGAGATCATATCCCCCCTTATGTATTATACATGGAGATCATATCCCCCCTTATGTATTATAATGGTGATCATATCCCCCCTTAATCTCCTCTTCTCAAGAGAGAATAAATTCAATTCCTCTAAATCGTTCCTCATAGCTGAGCTCCTCCATGCCTTTATCAGTTTGGTTGCCCTTCTCTGTACTTTCTCCAGTTCCCCAAGGTTCTTTTGGGTGAATTGGGTGCCCAAAACTGAACTGCATATTCCAGATGAGGTCTTACTAAAGATTTGTACCGGGGAAATGATATCTCTCTCTCTGGAGTCTATACCTCGTTTATTACAAGAGAGGATTTTGCTCACTTTAGAAACCGCAGCTTTGGGCATTGCATGCCATTATTAACTTGTGATCTACCAGAACCCCCAGATCCTTCTCCACCATTGACCCCCCCAGTTGTACCCCCCCCCCCAGTATGTATGATGCATTCATATTCTTAGCCCCCAAGTGCATTACCTTACATTTATCAACATTATGAAACCTCATTTGCCACATAGTTGCCCAATTACATAGAGCATTGAGGTCGGCTTGTAAATTTAAGACATATATATAATCAAATCACTGTGAACTCAGCTCCATTCCTTGTAACTGACATCATGTCCTAGGGACGGTTATTGTGAATCGTATGGGACTGTGTGCACACATACTGCTGCAGCTGGCTGTAGTGTTACTCTAGCTCAGGTTGGATGCATCTAGCAGGGTGTGTTTCTATATACTCACAGGGACTCTGTAGCCACCACTCTTTGGGCGAGCCCATACAGAGTATTGCTAGATGTCAGTGTCAGAAACCACCAGATGGCTGAGATGTGGACTCGGTACTTTCTCTCTTTCTCTTTCTTCGGACGGTGCCAGAGATCCAGCATTTTCCCCCCAGACACTTCCTCGAATTATATAAAGAAATACAAGTATTAGCTAGGAATCACTGATATATAGACTCCTGTCAAACATGAAACAAGAAAGCATTCTAACATAAAGCTGATCTCTCTCTGTCATTCTGCTCTCCCCTGCTAGCAGAATGTTCCTGGTTAGCAAATGAGCACTGTGAAACAACTGACTGGCCTCCTCTACTTGTGCTGCTTCTCCCTCTTTCAGTCTGAACTTTGCTGTACAAAGGATTGCAAGAGGCTGATACCAAGTTCTGGGTAAGGGGGGAAAGGTAGCCCTGGAAGTAGGATGTGCATGTAAGTGGGAGGTCCTAAATGAGACCTCTTGGCGGGTGCGCCTCCTAACACAGTGTAGATTTTACTGTGCTGTGTCAGTGGCTGCCCAGCATAGTCAGTTGCCGACCAGGGCGCTTTCCAATCATGGAAATGCTTTTATTGTGAATTGACAACATGTTTAACCACAGGATGCCTGGTGGTTTGTTTTTTGGTGTGTTGTTGGGTTTGGTTTTGGGTTGGATTGGGGGGGGGGGGGTTAAAGTGGTGGGTTTTTAGGGTTTGTGGTAGTTTGGGTTGGTTTTATTTTTGGTTAAAACAAATATTTTGTGTAGTTACCTGTTTTATTTTGTGGCCGTTTTCCTCTGGGGTTCTAAAAGGTTTTTCTAGGGGGTGTGGGGATGGGGGGGTGGGTGGGTTGGTTTTTTTTGGGGTTTTGGGGGTGTTTTGTTTGGGGGGGGTGTTTGGGGGGTAGGTTTGGGGGGATTGTGGTTTTTTTTTTTGTTGGGTTTGGGGTTTTTTGTTGTTTGGGTTTTTTTGTTGTTTGTTTTTGGGTTTTTTTTTTGTGTTGTGTTGTGAGGGGGGAGTTTGTTTTTTTTGTTTTTGGGTGGGGTGGGTGTTTTGTGGGTGGGGGGTGTGGGGGGGTGTGGTGGGGTGGTTGTTTTGGGTGTTTTTTTTGTTGGGGGGTTTGGTTGTTGTGTTGGGTTTGTTTGGGGGTTGTAATTTGGTTTTGGGTTGGTAATGGGGGGTCGTTGTGGGTTTTTTTTAGTGGGATGGATGTTTTGTGTTGTTTTAGTGTAGTTGTTTGTTTTTTTGGTGGGTTTTGGGTGGGGAATTGTTTGGGGTTTTTGGTTGGGGTTAAAAACATGTTTGTGTTTTAAGCATTTGTTGGTTTTGATTGGTGGGTGGGTTTTTGATTTCATTTTTGGGTTTATTTTCCTATGTGGTTTTGTGGTATTGCAATTAGGAGGTTGAACAGTGCACCCGTTTCATGCAATTCAAAAAAAAAAAGACTTTACACTGGGGTGGGGTTGGGGTTTCCCAGATAAACATTTCAGAGAGGCACTGCAGTCTAAAATTATTAGTAATACTGTATATGTAGAGAGTGTTCCAGCCATAAGGAGATTCTTTTAAATACACCCACAGAAATGGCGTAATCACGCTGTATGTAACCCCGGTATATCTTCTAGATGGAAAACATCGGTGTGGCTAGAACTAAACAGACATTTTATACCCACTTGACAAAATCTTACCAAATCAATGAGACTTTCCTGGATTCTGTTTAATGTTGTTCTGAGCCGACTGCTGCTTAGACCAAGGCCAGTGGATTCATACTGGAACAGAAGAGCAGAATATCAGGGAAATATTTAGGATGAAATAGAGTTGAAAGAAGAACTTTAGTGTAAGTGTAATCCTTTCTATGCGTTCTAATTGTAAAAGTTGTTGGATCCCAGATATCCCCTAATAATAATGTTGGATTTTTTTTATTCACTGAAGATAAGTAAAGCAGATTTGAACATACCGTACATTGCTTGGTATGGTAACCCAACTCCGGTGTAAAAAAAAATTTCAACATAGTAATTGTCGTGTAGGAGCGTCAGCTTCGGTGTCAAAGCCCACCCTCCCTCTGGTGCTGTCCCCTGCAGACTCATCTCTCTGCAATCAGGCACCGGTCCTCTTATAGATTGAATGATAAATCAGCTTTGTTCAACTCAACCCAAGTCCTATGAGCACAAGGAGTCATGGTCACATTCCCTGGGGAGGGTCATCAGGCCACCTTGGACTCAGGAGAATGCAGCAAAGAACAGCTCTGGCAACATAATGTGTTGCCAGTCTCTGTAGGGTTCATGACCCGCCCATCACTTGAGGAGGATAACTGGTAACTGGCCAAAGGACTACCGGTATGTGCCTCTGGGTGAGGGTAGTCTAAGAAAAGCTAGAGTTAGGCTCTCTCGCTCTCTCTAAGAAAAGGATGTGGAGCTCAGACTCCATCCAAAGAACTGAGGGAAAGGAACCAGCCATAATTCTCTGTAGGACATGTCATGGACTAAACTTATATCCCTTACAGGCAGCATCGCTGGTGAGCATGGACGTTTAATTGTGTTTGAATGTTTCATATATTGATATGTACTTCTTATCTGTATTTCCTAATAGTTTCACCCCACCCTGTTTTGTTAATAAAGTTTCAAAGATTACATTCAGTCTGGCTTATTGCAGAATAGGAGGGTTTTGCTGCATTTCGAGTTATACACAGGAAATGTGTAGCGAGGGCAGAATAGCTTGCACCCAATTCATGTACTTGTCAGACAGGTACATGAATTTGTCAGTGCCCGCACTGAGGCCATGGCACTAGGATGTCTATACATGACATGCCTTCCTCAGTGTACATGCTTCCTCCCTTCCCTGCAAATCACACTGACAGGCGAATGGCCAGGTTTGTACTAGGTGTGAGCGGAAACCAAGAGATTAGCTTCTCATCAAGTCAGAATACAATAGCTTGATGGGGATGAGTCCACATCCACATAACTCATCTATGTGCTTCCTTAGGCACAGAAAGTAGAACTATAGTCAACATTTTTATTTGTCATTATGGATAGCGTAATAGAGGGTTATAACCGCCTGTCAGATTTTTTTGCCATCTGTGTCCCATCAGGGAAACCTTCACTTCCTGTCCCATAGAAAAAACAGGAAGTGGGAGGAAATAACTGCATATTAAGGCAATCCCTCGAGGTTACCAGAACTAGGGTCGCCATTGGAGCATTTCCCCTTTATTACTTTCTGGGGACAACCCAAAATCTGGGATTTTCTGTCACTGTTATTGATAATGGTAAACAGGACAAATAGAGAGGGTGGATCTCTCTATTGGGGGCACCGACAGCAATAAAAACCTAATAGGTAGGTGTTCTAATCCCTCTCCACTCTATCCAAAACTAAAACTAAAGTTTTGCCTTTAAAGTGGTTGTAAAGGCTGAAGGTTTTTCACCTTCATGCATTCTATGCATGAAGGTAAAAATTCTGCTGTATGCAGCAGTGCTCCCAGCTCCCTCAATACTTACCTAAGCCTCATCGCAATCCAGCGATGTCAATGACAGCCTCGGCTGTCACGGGTCTCTGACTCCTCATTGGCTGAGACAGCAAATGGCTCCCGCTGCTGTCAATCACAGCCAGTCAGCCAATAAAGAGAGGGGGCGGGGCCAAGCAGCGGCTCCATGTGTGAGTGGACACACAGGGCAGCGGGTGCCCCCTGCTTGCTGTGGTGGCACTTGACAGAAAGGAGGAGCCAGGAGAGCCTGCGGGGGACCCGAGAAGAGGAGGATCCAGGCTGTTCTGTGCAAAACCGGTGCACACAGCAGGTAAGTATATCTTTTTTTTTGTAAAATAACAAACAAGAACCTTTAGAATTGCTTTAAGCCTTTATTGAATTGTTCTGAATATTGCTCTAAGCTGTCCTTGTTTTGTGCTTTTACTCGTAACAAGAACTATGTTCATCTGTTAACCACCAAATAACTACACGACACAGTAGTACTGTAAAAGCCAACAGGAACCTCAACTATTAGGAAATACTGATAAACGCAGCGTTTTGCTTCACGTTCTGGTTACCTTTGTTATGGTTAACATCTGTTTTTTTCCTTTTTCCAACTCCTGTTACAGTCTGAGCCCATGTGGGGTAACAGGATCATTTCAACAATACATCTGTATTATGTTTTTCTTGACTGTTAACATAATTTGTTGTAAACGGAATACTTATTATATTTGCTTTAATCTTGAACTTTTGAAAAGAACTTATAGGTTTTAAGTATATTGGAAGAATTTAAATTTAATAACAATTATTGGGGGGAAAAAAAAAACGCCAATAGGAAGATCTATATGCCCCAGAGAACCAGGCAGCCTACCTCATTGCAGGCTATCCCCTCTTCAGTCTATCATGAATGCTGCTGCCAGACTCCACCTAAATAACCGTTCTGTATCTGCCACCCCTCTCTGCCAATCCCTCCACTGGCTTCCCATTGCCCAACGGATAAAATTCAAAACATTAACAACATATAAAGCCATTTAATATTCTTACCCAAAATACATCACCAATCTTGTCTCCAAATATCACCCAAACCGTACTCTCCACTCCTCACAAGACCTCCTGCTCTCTAGCTCCCTTGTCTCCTCCTCCCATGCCTCTCTCCAGGACTTCTCCAGAGCTTCCCCCATGCTCTGGAACTCTCTACCCCAATTTATCAGACTATCGCCTACTCCGCTCACCTTTAGGCGATCTCTGAAAACCCATCTCTTCAGGGAAGCCTATCCTGCTCTCAGCTAATAATTGAAGCTTCTACTCTTCCAACCAGTCCATCCCCCAGTTACTACCTTTTGTGCCAGTAGCCCCTCCCTCCTAGATTGTAAGCTCCAAGGAGCAGGGCCCTCCTATCCCTCTTGTATTGAACTGTATTGTTGCTGTATTGTCTCCTGTTATATTGTAAAGCACTGAGCAAACTGTTGGCGCTATATAAATCCTGTATAATAATAATAATAATAATAACCTCACCCATGTGTTAAATACTAAAGATTCTTAGAAGGCCGAGGGTCTTAACTACTTAGTTTTTTAGTATTTTTTTTATAATTTTAAGACACAATTTTTTTCACTTAATCAGAAACTTTGTTTACTTTAGCTGATGTGATAGTATTCTGTTGGTGACAGTATCTCTTTATGGAGACATCAGGGGTCTATTAGATCCCTGATATCTGTAAACACTGAGGCAAAACATAATGAGTACACACAGTTTTTGTTCTGCTACTTTTCTAGCCACAGCCAGCCAGGATCTAACAGCTGTGAACCCAGAAGTGCTCAGAGCTCAGGTGGCAGATCAGGCTTTATTTACATCTAGGCGTTTTGTACTGCAGGCAGAATGGCCGCGATTCTGCCCGCGATCCCATAATGCTCTGCAAAAATGACAAATCACACCACTCTTGCTCAACTGACTTTAATTTTCGATGGCACCTAAAACGTGCTGTGATTCTAGCGTGCTGCAATTGCGCAAACCGCATCGCACGAAGCTTGTTGCTCCAAAAGAAGCTTCTTTATAGGTGACAAGCTTTACGCGATGCTGTTTGCCGTGATTGCAGCACGATTTATCGCATGACGATCGCGGCAGAATCGTACTTACATTTAGGTGCCATTCAAAATGAATGGCACCTGAACAAGCATGGCGCGATTTGTCAGTTTTGCAGAGCGTTTTGAGAACGCGCCTAGATGTGAACGGAGCCTCAATGATGACCTGCAATCCAGAAGCAGGTTGGTAGATGTCATTCTAATCAGAAGAGGACTGGCGCTGAAAAACAAAGCAGGATAGCCTGCAGGATACATTACCAGAAAGAAAAGAGTATTGCAGAGAGAACTGCATTTTTTTAACTTTTTTTTTTTTTTTTTTTTTAAGCTCCATGCACGCTAGCGGTTTTTTAAGCTCCTAGAAGATGTTATAGTTTTGTTTTTCTGCTCATAAAAGCTAAATATTGTTATCCTATGTGTCCATGCACACTATTTTAGGCTAGTAGCATTTTTCAAGCTTCAGCGTTTAGGAACAGAAAAAAAATAGTTTTAGTGAGCGTTTTTCCAGCAGAAAAAAAAATGCTGAATTCTCCTAAATGCTACTAAAATACTCCTAGCAGCTTTTTTCTAGATTTTTTTTTTCCTACAATACTTTAAAAATGTTATTAAACCGCTAACGCTCCTAAACGCTTTTAAACGCTACTAAAAAAACGCTATTACCAGCTTAAAAAAAAAGCTGCTAGTGTGCGTAGAGCCTAAACATAAATCTTTAGAAGATCAAAAATGGCCGCCTGTTTAGTTGTCTCATAACATTAACACAGTCATCAGTTATAAATATACAATTTCAGCTAGATGAGAAAAACAAAAAAGAACATACTGCGTCATTTCTCCCGAAAAATGTATAGACGGCGTACAGATAGTAATCAAATAGCTGCGACATGCAGTGGATCACATCAAAGGCGATAGGTTTCAGTATAGTCATCATCTGCATATACTTTCCTTAAGAGAAAAAAAAGAAAGAGAAGAGGAATTATTTAGAATGATATAAAGAATATAGAGGGAGGATGTCACTCTTAAAGAAGAAACTCCACTTTTGAGGCGAAAAACAATCCCCTTTACATAAACAATGTACATTGTATGGATCTTAAACCTTTTTTTGCAGATTCTTACATTTTTCTGCTCTGAAGAAAAAGCCATTTGTTCTACTATGTCCTTTGCAGACAGATTCTGAATAGGAGGGTCTGCGTTCATTATAATCACCTGGTGCACTCGTAGTGTTCTGAAGAGAAAAGCTGCAGTGTCTGCATCCCTTTAAAAATATATAACCCTTGCAAAGTATTTCACCACAACTAAGGACCGGTTCACACCATAGAAATGCAGTCCAGATGCATTCTTGATGCATTTCTATATGTGTGCTTTTGACGCTTTCCTGTGCGTTTTTGATGCATTTCTCCTCTTTCTTCAACTTAAATAAGGACATGTGCATTTTGGGTGCGTTCTACTGCATCCAGTACTGTTCAGTGCAGAAAAAAATTCAGCATGTTCTACTTTTTTTTCTGGAACTGGAATGCACTGGAACTGACCACACTGGTGTGGACTATGCCATTGGCAACCATGTAACCTACTATCAATGCATTTTTGATGCAGAAAAAATGCACTGGACTGCATGTGTTGTGAACTGGCCCTAAAATTTTAACTTGGATCTTACTGCAGACTTTTGGAAACACCTGAAAAGCAGTCATACAAGCAGGATAAAACCTTTCTGGGGGGCGTTCTGTATACCATCTGTGTACAAATCACCTCCAGCTTGCCATACTGCATTGAAATTTACAGAAAATTACTGAGCTGCAGACTGACATAAGTTATGCCTTTTTATCTGTACTCATCTGTCCTATACAGCCAATAAAAGTCCAGAATTTACATAAAGGTAATGCTCTGAAAAGCAGGGGGTGGGGAGCTGAAGTTACACACTGCAGAGCTCAGTGAGAGCTGATTGGAGGAAAGTTAAAACACCCCCCCCCCCAAACAGCACAGGGACAGAGCTGAGACTGTCAAGCACAGGCTATGTGCTGGAGCTCCCTCCCCTGTCACCTTTCTACCTCTTGGTGTCTTGAAAACTTGACTGATGGAGACAGCAGAAGAATGCTGCACCAGACAGAAATAACTAGGTACTCTGGAATGAGATAAGTACACACTATAGAGGGACATGCTTTGTTCATATTTCAGAGCTTTACAACCACTTTAAATGACAGTATGACCTGTGTAGCAATTGTATGTTTTTTTGTTTGTTTTTTTTAAATTGCTATAATTTTTCACAGAAGTGAAATTACCATTAAAGTCTGATGAGAGCCATTTAAGCAAGTATAAAATCTTAGATGAGGGAAGAAAGAAAAAACTCTGTAAAATGGTGAAACAGAGATACAAACAGATCACTTGAGAAGCTCTCTGGGGTCATTACATCAGCCATAATACATTTCGATTTTTTGCTTTCTTAACCACACTGGACATGTTGTACCAGAGCCTAATTGTAATCTTTAAGGCTGATTATTTATAGTACAAATATTTTGAATGGAAAGGCATTCTAAATATCAGATGTATCAGACATAAATTGTAAATAATGAAAGATAATAGGGCAATTCAGACAGCAATTTCTCACAAAGGAGACTTAAAAAAACAAACAAAAAAAAAACATAAAAATGGTTTCAAAAGTGTCTGCAACAGAAAATGAGTGCAATGATGGTGACACATCCATACACATTATTATTATTATACAGCAGTGGTTCTCAACCTTTCTAGCGCCGCGACCCCTTAATACAGTTCCTCATGTTGTGGTGACCCCCAACCATAAAATTATTTTCGTTGCTACTTCATAACTGTAATTTTGCAGTAGGAGGAATAGTGCCACGTCATTGGTGTCATTGGGAGGAATAGTGCCCCATCATTGGTATCAGTGGGAGGAATAGTGCCACGTCATTGGTGTCATTGGGAGGAATAGTGCCCCATCATTGGTATCAGTGGGAAGAATAGTGCCCCGTCATTGGTGTCAGTGGGAGGAATAGTGCCCCATCATTGGTGTCAGTGGGAGGAATAGTGCCCCGTCATTGGTGTCAGTGGGAGGAATAGTGCCCCGTCATTGGTGTCAGTGGGAGGAATAGTGCCCTGTCATTGGTGTCAGTGGGAGGAATAGTGCCCCGTCATTGGTATCAGTGGGAGGAATAGTGCCCCGTCATTGGTATCAGTGGGAGGAATAGTGCCCCGTCATTGGTGTCCGTGTGAGGAATAGTGTCCCATCATTGGTGTCAGTGGGAGGAATAGTGCCCCATCATTGGTATCAGTGGGAGGAATAGTGCCTCATCATTATTATCAGTGGGAGGAATAGTGCCCCATCATTGGTGTCAGTGGGGGGGAATAGTGCCCCATCATTGGTATCAGTGGGAGGAATAGTGTCCCATCATTGGTATCAGTGGGAGGAATAGTGCCCCCGATCATTGGTGTCAGTGGGAGGAATAGTGCCCGATCATTGGTGTCAGTGGGAGGAATAGTGCCCGATCATTGGTGTCAGTGGGGGGGAATAGTGTCCCATCATTGGTGTCAGTGGGAGGAATAGTGCCCCGTCATCGGTGTCAGTGGGAGGAATAGTGCCTCGTCATCGGTGTCAGTGTGAGGAATAGTGCCCCATCATCGGTATCAGTGGGAGGAATAGTGCCCCATCATAGGTGTCAGTGGGAGGAGGAATAGTGCCCCATCATTGGTGTCAGTGGGAGGAATAGTGCCTCGTCATCGGTATCAGTGTGAGGAATAGTGCCTCGTCATCGGTATCAGTGTGAGGAATAGTGCCCCGTCATCGGTGTCAGTGGGAGGAATAGTGCCCCATCATCGGTATCAGTGGGAGGAATAGTGCCCCATCATCGGTGTCAGTGGGAGGAATAGTGCCCCATCATCGGTGTCAGTGGGAGGAATAGTGCCTCATCATTGGTGTCAGTGGGAGGAATAGTGCCCCATCATTGCTGTCAGTGGGAGGAATAGTGCCCCATCATTGCTGTCAGTGGGAGGAATAGTGCCCCATCATTGGTGTCAGTGGGAGGAGGAATAGTGCCCCATCATAGGTGTCAGTGGGAGGAATAGTGCCCCATCATTGGTGTCAGTGGGGGGAGGAATAGTGCCCCATCATTGGTGTCAGTGGGGGGAGGAATAGTGCCCCATCATAGGTGTCAGTGGGCTCGCTCCCTCCCTCTCCCATGGTACCGACACTTACCTGTCAGATGTCTTCCTTCTCCGGCCGCTCTCCTCCTCTTCACTCGCTCGATCTTCGCGGTGCCGCTCGGCTCCTCCTCTCTCCAAGCTCCACCTCCTTGCCGGTGATTGGCCGCCTGTGTGCCTCTCCTGAGCTACAGTGCCGGCGGCCAATCACAGGCGAGGATTGATCTCGAGGTGTGTCCAGATGACAGGGGCGGCATGTCATCCCGCCCACACCTGGAGACGGCGGCGGCGGCGAGGAGCGGTGTCTCGGTTCCTAAGACCATCGGAAATATGTGTTTTCCGATGGTCTTAGGCGACCCCTGTGGAAGCGTCGTTCGACCCCCAAAGGGGGGGTCGCGACCCCCAGGTTGAGAACCGCTGTTATACAGTATTTATAAAGCGCCAATAGTTCGCTCAGCGCTGTACATTACAAAGGGGGACAGAACATGTGACAGAACAATACCAATACATGTGCAAAACATGAGGGGATCGAGGGCCCTGCTCTTTGGAGCTTACAATCTAGGAGGGAGGGGATAGTGGTACAGGAGGAGATAGCTGTGGGGGATGGAGTGGTAGGAAGAGTGGAGGAGGTCGGTCAAGTTAGCAGGGGGTGGGGTAGGCTTCCCTGAAGAGATGGGTTTTCAGGGTGCGCCTAAAGGAGAGGAGAGTAGGTGATAATCTGATGGGTTGGGGCAGGGAGTTCCAGAGGATGGGTGACACCCTGGAGAAGTCCTGGAGGCGGGCATGGGAGGAGGAGACCAGGGAACTAGAGAGAAGGAGGTGTTGTGAGGAGCGGAGTGCGCGTGCTGGGTGGTACTTGGATATTAGGTCAGTGATGTAGTTCGGGGCAGTATGGTGGACAGCTTTGTACGTCAGTGTTAGGATTTTAAATTTGATCCGTTGCGCAATCGGAAGCCAGTGGAGGGATTGGCAGAGGGGGGGGTGGCGGAGATGGAGCGGTTGGAAAGGTGAATGAGTCTGGCAGCCGTATTCAGGATCGACTGACGTGGGGATAGCCAGCGGCGAGGCAGGCCAGTGAGGAGGGAGTTGCAGTAGTCGAGTCGTGATATGATGAGGGAGTGGATGAGCTGTTTAGTGGTTTCTGGGGTTAGGAACGTGCGGATTTTGGCGATGTTGCAGAGGTGGAGTCTGCACGAGTTTGTTAAAAAATACAATAAAATAAAAATAAATAAATAAATAAAATAAAAATGTTAAATACATCCATTCTATACATGGCCAAAAGTTTGTAGACATCTGACCATAACCTTTTATTAACTTTTTATATTTAGCGAAAACCATTTGGTTCCATTTTCCAGATAGTGATACATGCAGTTGTGTTCAAAATAATAGCAGTGTGTTGAAAAAAGTGAATAAAGCTGAAAATCCTTCTAATAGCTTTTATTTCCATACACACAATTGCATTGGGAACACGACACATTCTATTCCAAATCAAAACATGAAGAAAAATAGATCAAATTTGTGTTGTTCCTCTAAAAAAAATGAAGAAAAGTGAATATTAGACTGTTCAAAAAAATAGCAGTGTTTGTATTCTTCTTTACAAACTCAAACATTCACTATATATAAACTGAAAAATGTTTGAAGATTTTGCTTTCCTTTGAATCACTTCATGAATATTTGGTTGTAGTCGCACTGTTTCTGAGAACTGCTGTACATCTGTGTTGCATGGAGTCACCCAACTTCTGGCCCCTGTGATCAGGTATTCCAGCCCAGGATGATTGGACTACATTCCACAGTTCTTCTCTATTTCTTGGTTTTGCCTCAGAAACTGCATTTTTGATGTCACCCCACAAGTTTTCTATTGGATTAAGATCCGGGGATTGGGCTGGCCATTCCATAACGTCAATCTTGTTGGTCTGGAACCAAGATGTTGCACGTTTACTGGTGTGTTTGGGGTCGTTGTCTTGTTGGAACACCCATTTCAAGGGCATTTCCTCTTCAGCATAAGGCAGCATGACCTCTTCAAGTATTCTGATGTATTCAAACTGATCCATGATCCCTGGTATGCGATAAATAGGCCCAACACCGTAGTATGAGAAACATCCCTATATCATGATGCTTGCACCACCATGCTTCACTGTCTTCACAGTGTACTGTGGCTTGAATTCAGTGTTTGGGGGTCGTCTGACAAACTGTCTCCGGCCACTAGACCCAAAAAGAACAATCTTACTTTCATCAGTCCACAAAATGTTGCGCCATTTCTCTTTAGGCCAGTCAATGTGCTCTTTGGCAAATTGTAACCTCTTCAGCACGTCTTTTTTCCAACAGTGGGAGTTTGCGGGGACTTCTTGCAGATAGCTTGGCTTCACATAGGCGTCTTCTAATTGTAACAGTCCTCACAGGGAACTTTACACCTTCTTTGATCTTCCTGGAGCTGATTGTTGGCTGAGTCCTTGCCATTTTGGCTATTCTTCTATCCATTCGAATGGTAGTTTTTCGCTTTCTTCCACGTCTTTCAGGTTTTGGTTGCCATTTTAAAGCATTTGCGATCATTTTAGCTGAGCAGCCGATCATTTTCTGCACTTCTTTATATGTTTTCCCCTCTCCAATCAACTTTTTAATCAAGGTACGCCGTTCTTCTGAACAATGTCTGGAACGACCCATTTTCCTCAGAATTTCAGAGAGAAATGCACTGTAACCAGCATGTGCAACATTTGCTGCCTTCCTTCCTTAAATAAGGGCAATAATTGCCACCTGTTTTTCAAAGAATGAATGACCTCACTAATAGAACTCCACACTGCTATTATTTTGAACATGCCCCATTCAATTACACAGAATCAGCAGCATGCATGTCATGACTGTTGGGTCTGTTGGATTTCTATTACTCTACTACACCTGCTAGTAAATTATTTGCCATGTAGAAATATCATTTCTACCAAAAACAGTGATTGATCCGGTTAGTGATGTCTGACTGCTATTATTTTGAACACAACTGTACAAATAAACAAGGAGTACATCAGCATCAGTATAGAACACAGAATATTGACAGTTGGTATCCCAAAAACATACAGCTGCTGATTAAGAACATATCTAACAGTAGACATTGGATAGAACCATCTCTAGCATCCTATATTGTTCATAGTCTATAGATTAATATGCAGGAATCTTTGGAGGGGCACAGATCAGAAATAAATTGCATATTACAAATTGTACTGACCCTTCAATTACAGCATTCATTCTAAAGAAAGTCACTGACTGAAAAAGAGAGCAAGCGAGGGCATCAATTAGGTACATACCAGGGGTGGACTGACCATTTGGAAACTCGGGCACCGCCCGAGGGCCCGGGGTCAGTAGGGGGCCCCATGAGATGCCCCTGGTACCTTTTTCATAGGCTTTTTTGAGTTTGGGCAAGGACACAGGGGCCCCATGATCCCCTATTGCCCCGGGGGCCCCATGAGTTGTCAGTCCGCCCCTGGTACATACTGATACTTATATTAGGGGTATTGAGCGGGTAGTGGGGGAGTAAAAGGTTTATATCTTGTGTAGCATGAAGTGGTTTATTGACAAGCCAATGATTTTCTTCAGGATTACACTAGAAGGAGCTTCAGTAGGTGAGTCCAGCTCTGCTGACCAGATTTATAAACCACAAAACAAAAAATAGCCAGATTTTGTCTACCAACCCCTCACTGAAAGTATATGGGATAGCATGACACATTTGGATAGAAATAATATACAATTATCTTTATTACCCCTTCCTACCAGCATGTCTTTGGAGTGTGGGAGGAAACTGGAGTACGCAGAGGAAACACACACAGGCACAGGGAGAACATGCAAACTCCAGGCAGGTAATGCCATGGTCAAGATTCGAACCAACGAGTCTAGTACTGCCAGGCAGAAGTGCTAACCATTTAGCCATGTTTTTGGAAAGGGCCAGGGACTTTTTTAAAAGCAAAAAGAAGCGTTTTTGCTACAATAGAGTTCAATGGAGAAGCTGCTGAAATGCATGGTAGTGCATTTTACATTACTTACTTGACCTGAGAGGGAGAGAGAATCGGAATCACACCGATATGACCGCAGTAATTGCGGACAATAGGGTGCGACTTGCCATGCAATTTTCAAGTTGCATGGCATGGCAAATCGCATGGCAAGTCGCACCCGGTGTGACCGGGGTCTTAAGGTCTCTTGCACACGGGAGTCAAAAATGCTGAGTTTTTTACTGATCTGAAATGAGATGCATTGTTGTCTATGGGACATTGCACACAGCTGAGTAAAGATCAGTAACACAGCACTGAGTACAGAGCAGTAAAACAAAGCCACAAATGTTTCATTCAAATGCAGTGATTTACTTGTTTTTTCTCATTTAGGCCCCTTGCACATGAGCGTCATAATTTACTGATATTTACTCAGGATCTTGTGATGCCCACGTGCAAGGGGCCACAATACTGGCAATGGAGATGAATTTTACTTCATCTATACTCTTACACACCTTTACTCACCTATACTCAACATTACTCAGATCTTTAAACACAGTTTTTGTCCCCTTACATACGGGTGTCACAAGTTCCTGCTCTAGATCTGAGGGGAAGCTCTGCTGCTTTTTATCATCCAATCATGTGCAAGCAAAAATGCTGTTTTTTTTTTATTCTTGCATGTGATTGGGTATTCTTTGCAAAGTGAAGCTTTACCTCATTTACTAAGCTCTGGAGCTACTGCACTTGCTGTGCACAGTATATTTACCTTTAGTAACTCAATCCCAATGTCTAACTACATGAAGCATGTGAGTCCTTACTTAAATCCTGGTGTGTTTTGTGTATTTATTTCACATTTGTGCCATAATCCAGCATAAAAATTTTGCCTCTGTGCAGGAACTTCCTGTAATAAAGACCGGTCACTGATGCTCTCTCCTTGTGCAAGGTGACTGGTCTTGTCTCCGCCCCCTCCTATAGTTTTCTGCAGGCAGCCTGTGGTGGTGGGCGGGTCCCTCCCACAACTCTGCTCTATGCACAGGGTATGCACAACACAGCGATAATGTCACTGCTACTTTTACAAGGTAATATCTGGGTTTACAAAGGCATTTTAGATTTTAAGCTCCACAAGCAGGGCCCTCCTATTCCTTCTGTACAGAAATGTATTGTAATTGTACGGTCTCCCTTATATTGTAAAGTGCTGCGCAAACTGTTGGCGCTATATAAATCCTGTATAATAATAATAATTTGGTGCACACCAACTGGATTTATAACCTTTATGGCTATAAAGGAATATATTTAAATTAAAGTGGGGCAGCACAATGGCTAAATGGTTAGCACTTCCACCTGGCAGTACTAGGGTCGTTGGTTTGAATCCCAACCACGGCACAACCTGCCTGGAGTTTGCATGTTCTCCCTGTGCCTGAGTGGGTTTCCTCCAGGTACTCCTGTTTCCTCCCACACTCCAAAGACATGCTGGTAGGTGAATTGACTCCTGTCTAAATTGGCCCTAGTATGTTTATGTATGAATGTGAGTTAGGGAACTTAGATTGTACGCCCTTTGGGGGTTAGGGACTGATGTGAATGTACACTATATATATATATATATATATATATATATAAAGTGGGGCAGCACAGTGGCTAAATGGTTAGCACTTCCACCTGGCAGTACTAGGGTCGTTGGTTTGAATCCCAACCACGGTACCACCTGCCTGGAGTTTGCATGTTCTCCCTGTGCCTACGGGGGTTTCCTCCCACACTCCAAAGACATGCTGGTAGGTGAATTGGCTCCTGTCTAAATTGGCCCTAGTATGTCTATGTATGAATGTGAGTTAGGGACCTTAGATTGTACGCCCCTTGAGGGTTAGGGACTGATGTGAATGTACAATATATATATATATATATATATATATAGAAATATAAAGTGGGGCAGCACAGTGGCTAAATGGTTAGCACTTCCGCCTGGCAGTACTCGGGTCATTGGTTTGAAGCCCAACCACGGCACCACCTGCCTGGAGTCTGCATGTTCTCCCTGTGCCTGCGTGTGTTTCCTCCCACACTCCAAAGACATGCTGGTAGGGTAATTGGCTCCTGTCTAAATTGTCCCTAGTATGTGTATGTATGAATGTGAGTTAGGGACCTTAGATTGTACTCCCCTTGAGGGTTAGGGACTGATGTGAATGTACACTATATATATGTAAAGTGCTGCGTAAATTGACGGCGCTATATAAGTACCTGTAATAAATAAATAAATGTTTGTACATAGAGCTCAGCTTCTATTGTGGATATTTGATAGAATTCCTCTTTAATAAAATAAATAGACAAAATGAGTAATTAATTGCACAGGTAATCAACAACACGTTTTCCTAAAAAAGACAGCTCCAGCCCTCCCTTAATGACTGACCTGCTTGTTCTAATAACTGTAACAAAGTAAGACAGTAATTTTTAATTTCAGAATTTAATTATGAAAAAGACAGCCTGTGTTTACATTACCTACTTGTCCTTTCTCTGTGCAGACGTCCCTGAGACGTGTGGCATGAATTAAGCGGGAATCTTGTACAAGGTAATTAATCAGCAACGGGCTTCTACTTACCAACAAGCCGTATTACGTTGAGCGTTGTGTTGGTAAGGATGGGCGCATTCATCTTGTTCAGGCTGTAATCTGATCGCTTCCTGCTGCGCAGGGTCTCTCTCGAAACACTTCATTAAGACGAAAACAGAATGAGGTCACAATTAGTATATAGTGCTGAGCTCTTGGATTTTCTGACATTTTCTAAAAAAAAAAAAAATTAAACAAATTCTCCCCTATACATGATCACGCTAAAGAAAGCATCACCATGCAGTCTAAGTGCCGGTTCACACCAGAATGTGGTACGGGAAAGTCACATTTTTTGTACCTTTTCTTCGCCGCGTTCAAAACGCACTGCAGTTGTGATCTGCAGCAGGTGTCAATAATAATTTAATGGAACCCCAAATGCAGGTCACAAATGCAGTGCCTTTGCCCGCAACAGATGGCATGTTATAGAAGTACCATACTAACCGATTGCAGTGCGTTTCCAAAAGTAGTGGATGCGCTACATTTGTCGTGGTGCAGTGTGATTTTACTCCGTTCAAAATTAATGGGCTGAAATCGCACCGCACAGAACTGAATGTGAATCACATTTCCCCATGTGAAGCAGGCCTAATATGGAGTGAGTGACACAGTTATAGCAATGTGGGGGCGATGGGAACATGACGATGAAACAACCACAACGTCTTTTTCAAGAGCAGCCTGTATTTCTCCTGAGGTTACCTGAGGGCTTTTTTTTGTATCCAGAACAATTCTTCTGGCAGTTGTGACTACAATCTTTCTTGGTCTACCTGACCTTGGCTTGGTATCAAGAGATTCCTGAATTTTCCATTTCTTACACGATTGAACAGTACTGACTGGCATATTCAAGGTTTCGGATATCTTTTTATATTCTTTTCCATCTTTATACAGTTCCATTAACTTGTTATGCAGGTCTTTTGACAGTTGTTCTCTGCTCCCCATGGCTCTATATCCAGCCTGCTCAGTGCATCCACGTGACATCTAACAAACTCATTGACTATTTATACACATACACAATCTAATTTATACACATACACTGCAATCTAAAAAACCTTTAACCCCTTGCCTACAGGGCACTTATACCCCCTTCTTTACCAGGCCAATTTTCAGCTTTCAGCGCTGTCGCACTTTGAATGACAATTGAGCGGTCATGCAACACTGTACAAATGTGAAATTTTTATCATTTTTTTTTCTCACAAATAGAGCTTTCTTTTGGTGGTATTTAATCACCGCTGGGCACTTTACTTTTTGCGCTATAAACAAAAAATTGCAAAAAATGTAAAAAAAAAAAAAAAGTTTCTTTGTTTCTATTATAAAATTTTTCAAACAGGTAATTTTTCTCCTGCACTGATGTGCGTTGATGAGGCAGCACTGATGGGCACTAATAGGCGGCACTGATAGGCGGCACTGATAGGCAGCACTGATAGGCAGCACTAATGAGGCGGCACGGATAGGCGGCACTGAGAGGTTTCAACAGATAGGCGGCACTGATAAGTGGCACTGATAGACAGCACTGATAGGTGGCACTGACTGGCATCACTGCTGGGCACTGACTGGCGGCACTGCTAGGCATTGACTGGCACAACTGCTGGGCACTGACTGGAACAACCACTGGGCACTGACTGGTGGCACTGACTGGCAGCACTGCTGGGCTGCACTGATGGGTGGCACTGGTGGGCACAGGAAGGTGGCACTTCTGAGCACAGGTGTGTGGCACTGCTGGGTGGCACAGGTGGATGCACTGCTGGGCACAGGTGGGCGCACTGCTGGGCACAGGTGGGCGGAACTGGTGGGTGGCACTGCTGGGCACCGATCATCAGGGCACTGATCATCAGTGCCAATCCCTGCTCTGACAACTGGCGGTTCTCGGCAGTACTTTCCTCACGCTCTGACAGCGTGAGGAAACTGCAGCCGAGAACCGGTAATTGCATTTCCCCGTGATCAGCGTGTCATTGGACAAGGTTGATCACGTGGTAAAAGGCCGCTGTGATTGGCCTTTTACCACATCACGTGGTCAGCTGTGTCCGTAGGACACAGCGATCATGGAGATCACCGGGGGCGCGCAGGAGGACGTCATATGATGCCCTCCCAGAACTGGCCAGCCGCAGTGTAGCCGTCATCTATCTGCGGTCGGCAGGTGGTTAATTGCCATTTTAACCCGTGTGTGTCACCTTGTGTGTCTGTACCAAGGCCAAACATTCCAGGGGAGGGAAACTTTTGATCATGGCCATTTGGGTGATTTTTCTTATCATTATTATTTAAAAAGGAACCAAACTACTATGTGATAATAAATGGCTTCATATGATCATCATCCTTAACCTCTTCACGCCAGCGGAACACAAATGTGCGGCCTCCCGGTGTCTGGGCCTAGTCGCCGAGCGGGCCGCACATTTGCATTCTATTAAAAAAAGGACATATGTGCGGAGAGCATGCGCCCTGCGTGCTCCCGGCACACATGTCCGGTGCTCACGGAAAGGTCCCGATCTCCTCTTTCGATTGGGACCTTTCCCAATCATGTCACCGCCGAGACGGCGCGTCACGGCAGTCACATGACCCTAAACCCCACCTCCCAGCTTCTGAAACTCTTAAAGGGCCAGGAGGCGCCGGCGTGAAGGGGTTAAATAAAAGACTGTTTATAGGAATTATAAGTTATATTTTGAATATAAAAGCCAAAATGTCACAAATTTGGGTATGAAAACTTTTGAGCACAACTGTATTTCCTAATTCATCCAAAATGGAAAAAAAAAAAGTTTTGGCCAGCTGGGCCTTCAGTTCATGTCAGCCAAATGCATTCCAGGTCTTAGGGCCAGTTCACACTATCTCATTTTGTCTCTCATAGTTGAGGTCTACCTATGATGCCAATTACAGGCCTCTCTCATCTTTTTAAGTGGGAGAACTTGCACAATTGGTGGCTGACTAAATACTTTTTTGCCCCACTGTAGTTTTTTAGGGGATTATTTAGCACTAGTTATCTATACCTTTCAATACAGTGTGGTCACTTTATATGTATTTTTATATCATTGCACCTACTTATTTAGTTTTTTATGTGAAGAGCTTCACCAATATTGTTTTTTTTATGTCATACATCCTGTGGTATTGAGAATAGGTGGTAGAAGCTTGCATATATTTGGGGTTGTATTTGTTCTTACCAGTGGAGCGCAGGGGGATTATTTTTATATTAACCATATAATTTACTGTGTGTTTTGGATGCAGAAAAAAAGCAACTGAAACGCATGTAGTGTGAACTGGCCCTTAGTCTGTTTTCTGTCTGAGACAGCCACAGTCCTGAGTGGAAAAGCCCATCTCCTGCCAGCATGCTGTAGAGAAGGACCCTTGCTCTCTTTGAGGAAGCAGCGGACTATTTGATGAGGAATGATGCACCCCTTGATGAGTCAGACTTCGCCCTGGTGCACACCTGTGCGGGTTTGACATTGCACTACTGCAATGCTGCAATACTGCTGACATCTGTGCGCAATGAAGTTGCAGAGAAATAGTGCAGGAACCTTTTTTAAAGTTGCTGCGACCTGAGTCTCCCCCGCTTCGAACGGTTCCATTGCCACAAATGGGATGCAACTTTAAATAGTCAAGTCACATGACAAGCCACGCTGGTGTGAACCAGGGCTTAGAGCTCTGCAATCAGGGAAGCCGATACCCCCTGCTGATTGGAGAGCTCCAGTTGTGACTCAGCAGGAGGAAGTTGGACCTCTAAAAGACCCCTGACATCTTAATGAAGAGAACCAGTCAGAGCAAAATAGTATCACATAGAGGACTTTTAGTACCCTATGTGATCATAAATATTTAGAAAAAAAAAAAAAGTGTGAAAAAATATAAAACGTTACACACAAGAATTTAAACTCCCAAAGAAAACATGAGCTGCCGCACCTCCACCCCGACATATATGCACATACAAAATGTACGCCATTCACAGAATGCCTTACATTTTTCTCAGTGAGTGCAAGGCATTCTCTGATTGGAGAGGAGGGGGCGGTGATATCACAAGCTGAGTGAGTGAAACCCTGTGCTTACTATGCGGCCTGTCATGGGCCCCGGAAGACCCTGGCGATCTCTGTGGTACTGACTACTAAAGTGATTTTCTGCTTCCAAAGTGGTCCCGCATACTGTACAAACCTTACACTGGTCCAAGCTGAACCAGTGAAACTATAGAATAAAATCCAAGCCTTGAGTTCAGCTTTACTGAATACAGAGCTGTATTAATATGTGTGTAATACCCTCAATGATTTTAGCTTAACAAGGAAGATTCTATTAAATCAGTGAATCAATATACTAATGTATTCCTCCATTGGTAAGTACTGATGTTCAGGATCCCTGAGCCAGGTACTAAGCCAAACCTACAGCAGAGAAAAGCCAGTAAGATATGAATATTCACCTCTTCGATGGCGCATCCCCGGTCTGCTCATCCACATAATCCCGCTTTAGCTCCTCCGGAACATCGCTGTCACTGTCGTACTCCTGATAAGCACTTTTTTCCAGCTCATCAGATTCATACTGTGAAAAGAGAACACAAGGAAGACACCCAATTTGTTTCTTTTACAGGCCTAGAATTTGTGGCTTACTTCAATCACGGCAGAAAAACACGGCTTTTTACAATGATGCAGGAGGAAAAAAAGAAAAAGATTTGCACAACATTCAGACTGGTACATATATTAAAGCTGCCATTGGCGTGATAACGACCACCACACACTGAGCCTTTGCAGCGGGAGTGGAAGAACATTCATCTCAAAAATAATGCACAATACATAAAACGCAACTAATAAACAATCGATAGGACGAACTTTATCAACCTTTCCTTCTGCTATGCAGAACTATACAGAATGTTTTCTGAAGACAGCAACGGAGGTGACATGGATTTCTGACTTCAAAGCCTATTGTGTGATTTACAAATGAAACTTTTTTGTAACAATTGTTAAATCCATATTTTAAAAAGGGCGAGAAAACATGTATTCAGCCTCAAATTTGGCCCCACTTGGTTGACACAGCTTGGCAATGCACAGGCATTGCATTACATGGAACCAACCGGCATCTGCAAAACATGGCACAATCCAGATGGTTTGTTTATAACAGACATCACTCCAAATCTGAGACCAGCAGACAGAGGAAAGAGTGTCTTAGACCCATACCTCTGATATACTAAAATAACAGAATGCATTTGACCACACGATGAACAGGGATTCTCCCCCAAATTATGGCAGCACCTTACTTATCCTACTTCTATTCTTTTGGTGTCCATAATGATAAGGTACTTGTAGCAGAGTGTGTGGGTGTATAACACACACACATCAAGCATAACTTTCTGACCACCCATCTAATATTGAATAGGTCCCCTGACCCATCAAGGCATGGATGCCACTAGACCACTGAAGGTATGCTGTGGTATCTAACAGCAAGCCGTTGATAGCAGATACTCTATGGATGTGGGAACTCCATGGAGCGGACTTGTTTTTCCAGCACATGCCACAGCTGCTCGATTGGATTAAGATCTGGAGAATTTGGAAGCCAAGTCAACACCGCAATCCTGTTGTGTTCCTCAATTCTTGGGCCATTTTTGCAGTGCGGCAGGGCACATTACCCTGATATCAGGGTATACCATCTCCATGAAGGGGTGGTACTTGTGTAAGCCGTGTAGCGGGTGGGCTCCCCAGGATACAGTGAAGTCACGAACAAGGAAAGCAACCCCAACACCAGCTTTTGCCACAACAGAATTTTACTTAGATGTGGCAAATAAACACAACCACAAATGCTGGGAACATACAATAAATTTACATACACCCAGCCCAAAGGCTGAGACCCTTGTGCTGCACAGCACGGCGCCTTCTGATGGATGAAAGTAGAAAGTGAAGTAATTTACCTACTGGCGGGCACAACTAAGCTGCCACACCTTACCTGTTATTACCCGAAAAGAGCAGGAATCAGTGTATGGGTGTATGGTATGGGCTAGCCTGTGGTGCAGCACAACAGCCTACAATCTTACACAAATCTACAGTATTCCCCCTCCCATAACTGGTCCTGTAGCACGTGCCTGAGTATTCCTTCTGAGCAAAACGCCAGTCTGGCTTGAGATTGTGGGATTTTATCAGCTCTCCAATGTGAAATGTCACTTTAAGTTGTGGAGTCCTTCCAATGATCAGTAACAACACTTGTGGCCTGACACAAACAGAGACCCTAACTAACTATAAGCCTGGTCTCAGTCTATAGGCTCCAAAACTGAAATGAGGTGTGTGTGCACGATCTTACCGACCTGGGTCTGCTTTGTATCCGCTGGTGACTCTGAACAGAACAAATGTCTCTCCAACAAGCATGCGATATCGTAGTATATGTTGCGTTGTTCTTCTGCTCTCATCAGCATTCCTGGCAGCAATCTTCCTTTCTCTGAACAGGATCAGGGTCTTGGACACGATCAGCTTCACTTAGCTGCAGCTCTGGATACTGAGGGATGCATTCACAGCTGGATGTCATCGGATTCTCAGCTCACACGGCCCCTTCATTCAGCATCGTCCCAAAACATGGCTGCAGTCTCCTCTTCCTGTTCACTAAACTCCATGTGAAAACTCCACCTCTTATTGAATATAGAAATATCTATGCAGTCTGGGGCTGTGTTAGAAAAACAGTGACATCTTATGGCTAAACCGCAGAATGTCACTCCAGAACGTTTAATTTACTGCACACAAACAGTGTTCAAACAATGAGAGCTGTTTCCCCATCTCACACTTGGACAGCAACAATGTCTAGGTAGGTAGCATGTGTCAACTACCAAGACCCAAGGTTTCCCAGGAGAACATTGTCCAAAGCGTCACACTGCCTTCTGCAGCACCATATTGCCTCCACCAGTTTGCCTTCTTCCCATACTGCATTCTGGTGCCATCTCTTCCCCAGGTAACCGATACACGCACACCCAGACATCCAAATGATGGAAAAGAAAACATTACTCTTCAGACCAGACCATCTTATGTTATTCACGTTATGGCTGAATGGTGTGGGGTGTGTGTGTGTGTGAGATTTGTGTGTGTGTGTGTGTGTGATTAAGTTTCAGCTCCCTCCATAAATTTTCTACAGGATTAAGGTCTGGAGCCACTCCTTTGTTGCCTTGACGGTATTTTTTGGGTCATTGTCATGCTGAAAGACCCATCCATGACCTATCTTCAGTGTTCTTGCTGAGGGAAGAAAGTTCTTATCCAAGATTTTACAATACGTGGCCCCGTCCAATTGCCCCTCAATGCGGCAAAGTCGGCCTGTATATTTAGTAGAGAAACAGCCCCAAAGCATAATGTTTCCACCTCCGTGCTTGACTGTAGGGATGGTGTTCTTAGGATCATAGTCAGCATTTTTCTTCCTCCAAACATGGCAAGTTAATGCCAAAGAGCTCAATTTTGGTCTCATCTGACCACAGTACTTTCTCCCAATCCTTTCTCTGAATCATTTAGATGTTCACTGGCAAACTTTAGATGGGCCTTTACATGTGCCTTCTTAAGGAGAATGATCTTGCGGGTGCTGCAGTATTTCAATCCATGGCAGCGTATTGTGTTACCAATGGTTTGTTTGGTGTCTGTGGTCCCAACTCTCTTATTCACAAGCTCCTCCCATGCGTTCTGGGCTGATCCCTCACTTTTCTCATGATCATCCTTACCCCATGAGGCGAAATCTTGCATGGAGCTCCAGACTGAGGGCGATTGATTGTTATTTTGTATTTCTACCATTTGTGAATAATCGCTCCAACAGTTGTCTCCTTCTCACCATGCTTCTTGCTGATGGCCTTGTAGCCCATTCCAGCCTTGTGCAGGTCTACAAGCTTGTCCCTGATGTTCTTTGACAGCTCTTTGGTCTTGCCCATGGTGGTGCCCAAGAAAGAGATTCTGTGGACAGGTGTCTTTTATACACATAACAAGTTCATGTACCCCATGAACACATAGCCAGTCTGCAGGAGTCAGAATTATTGTTGCTTGGTAGGGGATCAAATACTTATTTTACTCACTGGATGTTTGATTGATATTTTGCCTCTATAATTTAAAATACACCTATGGTACAAATTATAATTGTCCCCCTTTGTAATGTACAACGCTGAACTATTGGCGCTTTATAAATACTGTATAATAATAATAATAATAATTATAGACCCTTCATTTTTTTGTAAGTGGGCAAACTTACAAAATCTGCAGGGGATCAAATAATTATTTTCTCCATTGTTTATACTGTAGATCCCTATATACTTTTCATATGTGGTTAGTGTAAAATATATACAAATGATGTTATAAAATATATCAGGAAAAACCTTATGTCATTTAGTGTTCTTGCTGTCATATCACTTGCTTGTTTTGCTCTGTGCTCTTGAAAATGGGGAACATAAAGGCGCACACTATAGATGACAGGCACCTCACTCTGCTTATTTTCAGGGAGACACCAGCCAATCCAAGGCTACTTTAAGCTTTAGTTTTGTTCAGTGAACTGACTTCTGGTTTTATCAGCATCTTTGCCTATAAACTGTATCTTACCCCATTGGCCGCCAGCACATCCTCTGTTTCATCTTCTTTCATAGAAGATTGTATCTCAAAAGGATTGCCTCCGCTGATATACTGATCAAACAATGACATTGTAGCAGAGTCGGTTGCAGACGCTTGTTTACTTGGTGACATCGATGGGGAACGAGACTGATTCAAACACTTAAATTCCTACAGATAGGAGTGAGAAGAAAATTCAAGAGATTACAAAGTAAACTTTGAAACGGTTTATCAGGGGAAGTATATTTAAGATTGGGTTTAATCTGCAGTGTCTAGCCATCTAATGCCATCATACCACACAGCAGGGGAAGCCTGCCCTATTCCCTTAGAGTACAGATAATCCCTAACTGAAAGCATTCTGTGTCTGTGCAGCATTAATGTGATCAGTTTTCTTTTTCCGCAGTGGTGAGGTGAGGGAAGATGGAGTGCATTCTTACAAGCTCTGGGAGGCATTCGCCTAAGGGCTCATTCACATCCATGTGTTGCAACACTGTAGATGCGCTGCATTGCAGCACACCATGACCCACAATAACGCACTGCGTGCCAAAAATGGTGCAGTTCCAATTTTATCTCCATTGTGGTACATTGCAGCCCATTTAAATGAAGGGGCTGCCTTGACATAACACAAGTTAAAGGACATAAGTTAAACACACCGCAACGGATTGGATGGATGTGAATAAGCCCTAAGTGAGCACCCTTCATTTTGAGAGTCCTAGGTTGCTCTAATCATCCTGCTGATGTTTCATTTGCCTATTTGCGGACCGACCGATCACAATATATTGCGGGCAAAGCATCGTACTAATATGTCGCTGCCTGCTTCCGAGTTTGGGGCACGTACACGCGCAGCTCCCCAATCCCCCCCCCTCCCCCCAACGACACCCACTGTGTTTGTACACAGCGGGAGTCTGTCAGCGAGTCCCTGCCAATGATTCATGGCTGGGACCTGCTGATTGATTGTGTACAATCACAGCCCAGAGCTCTGTGTTGACATTCAATACAGGGCTCTGTACAAAGGGAACAACCTCTCTGTTTCCCATCTCAGCGATGAGAAAGAGATCAGTTAGTAAAAGCAGCACATAATACACACATTACATATTGGAAGGCACACATTTAACCCTCTGATTGCCCTAGATGTTATCCCCTTCCCAGCCAATTTCATTAATACAGTGATAGTGTATATTATTATCATTGATCACTGTATTCGTGTCACTGGTGATATCAGTGGCAATTAGCCAGCTCCCTCCCAGCCTCAGTTAGTGTCAGATTGTCCACCACACTATTGCAGTCCCTTTATAAATCATTGATCACCGCCATTAGTGGTAAAAAAAAAAAAAAAAAAATTACAGACACCTGGCGTGTGTACAGATCTAGGCTCTGTTCACAAATGCCTGACACAAGTCACACCATACTATAGGCTCTTACCTTGTGAGTTGCTACAAAGTTGCAATCTATAGTCTGATTACTGGTGGGCGAGGAGACTGAGGAAACACTGCCTCTGGTCTGCAGCAGACTGATGACACAATCTCATTCCAGGCAGTCACTGACTGGAGCTCAAGGAAGGCATTCTTTTAATAAAAGGTGAAGCTTTCTTTTTTTTTTTTTTCAATGACGGTATACTATTGTTGTAAATTGTGACAGGTCAGTCACTTGTTTGTGCAGACTTGCAAAGTTACAAAAGGTTCCCTTCAATATAAAATGTTTATTTAAAAATCTTATAACCAGTAGCTTTTTTTAATGTAACTCTTATTTTCCGAAGGATTTGCTCAGCTTACAAATGACATAAGCACTTATAGCAATTTAGTTAAGATGCTGCATCCTAATAATGGTGTGTAACCCTGCTGCACGTTCATGAGGACAGGACAAGGATAATCCTTTCTCCAGTGTCTCCTTCTAATTTATTTTCTAGTTAAATCAGTAAGACATGGACACAATGTTGTAGAAAGACATTATGATGGCCGTCTCAGTGTCAGAAGTTCAATTTGTATATTAATCTTTAATATGTGGTGAAAGCGAGAGAATGGCGCTATAGATGGGAAGAAGAGGGCCAGAAGCAGTGATCATATTATTCATGTTCCTGGCCGCTGATGTTGTTTCTGAGCTGCTAACTCTCCTAATTGTGTATTTGGCCACCTGGCTAGCGGACATCGGGCTACATTGTTGTGCTTTACAAGAGATCAGAGGCTAACCCTCCTTCCAGGAAAGAGTTCCCACTCTTTATGCATTAATTGGGGATGACCACAGTTTATGGGGTTTGGTGATCAGTTTGCTATGGACTTCCTACTGGCCAATGCAGTCCCCCTAAACCCCTCTCTTACCCCCTCCCCCCCTCCTCTTTTCTCCCCTTGACTCTATTCTACTTATTTCTGTTGGCACTAGTGTTTGGCACTGGAGGAGGTATTAGAAAACAGCCCCAATTTCCTTGATTCTCCATCAAACTGCAAGTGGGATGAGATGCTTTAGGCTCCCTAAAGTCTAGAAATCAGTTGGATTTGACATTGCACTTTTAATTTACGTGCTTTGCAAGCAATATCATTGTGATAGCCCCTTAAGAACTTATTTTGCCTAATTTTTTTGTAATGGGTTGCCTTTAAAGTATTTCTTGATTAGGTCATAATATATGGATATATGGATACATGTATTTGGTCCTATTCTTCAGCCAAGATAACATAACTGGTGGTTTCTGCTACAAAAACAGATATCTAGCACTTTTCGATGCTCAGGACCACAAAGAGGAGTTCTGTCACAAAACCTGCATTGATCTACTAGAGATCATTTACTTTTTTATGGATAAAAGGGAAGCATCCTTCATTGTGCCTGTTAGATTGCTGCATTGGAGACAATAGGGTTGATTTACTAAAGGCAAATAGACAGTGCAGTTGCTCCTCTTAGTAAATGAGTTCCATCATCCGATCATGTGCAAGCAAAAATGCAGTTTTTTAAATTTTTCTTGCATGTGATTGGGTATTCTTTACAAAGTAAAGCTTTACCTCATTTACTAAGCTCTGGAGCAACTGCACTTGTAAAGTGCACAGTCTATTTGCCTTTAGTAAATCAACACCAATACCTCTACTGCTGTAAACAGCACTTAGAGTTGGGACTATAAATGTACCTCCCGAGGTATAAGACAAAAACAAATATCAGTACATAAAAGCAATATTTTATTAAACACATATATTAGTATCACAAACACACATCATAAAAAACTTATAGAATGAATAATGTCGCTTGGAATATGACCATATAACTGTTCAAAAGAGCACAAGGTACAAAATGTATATGTATACACAAACATATAATTTTTCTTTTTCTTTACTAACTTTGCCTCACAATTCACAGATCCAAAGCCCTGAGGAAGAGGTTTTTCCGCGAAATGTGTCGGCCATTTAAGCCTAGGATCTTTTGAACGGTTATATCGTCATATTCCAAGCGACATTATTCATTTTATTAGTTTGTTATGATGTGTATTTGTGATACTAATATATGTGTTTAATAATATATTGCTTTTATGTACTGATGTTTGTTTTTGTCTTATACCTTGGGAGGTACATTTATATTCCCAACTCCAAAGGGCTGTTGTTTCACATTTATATTGAGGGATGGTACCTCCAGAGAGAATATTAACCCTACACCCATCCTCCACATATGCCTTTTGATTTCAATACCTCTACTGATCCAGCGAGGATGGTCAGGACCCAGACAACTGCTCGTAAAAGCCATACCGAATTCGATAACTAGATCCAAGTCCCTGAGGAAGAGGTTTTTCCATGAAATGCATTGGCCATTTAAGCCTAGGATCTTTTGAACAGTTATATCGTCATATTCCAAGCGACATTATTCATTTTATTAGTTTGTTATGATGTGTATTTGTGATACTAATATATGTGTTTAATAAAATATTGCTTTCATGTACTGATATTTGTTTTTGTCTTATACCTTGGGAGGTGCATTTATATTCCCAACTCCAAGGGCTGTTGTTTCACATTTATATTGAGGGATGGTACCTCCAGAGAGAATATTAACCCTATACCCATCCTCCATATATGCCTTTTGATTTCAATACCTCTACTGATCCAGCGAGGATGGTCAGGACCCAGACAACTGCTCGTAAAAGCCATACCGAATTCGATAACTAGATCCAAGTCCCCGAGGAAGAGGTTTTTCCGTGAAATGCGTCGGCCATTTAAGCCTAGGATCTTTTGAACAGTTATCACGTCATATTCCAAGCAACATTATTCATTTTATTAGTTTTTTATGATACTAATATATGTGTTTAATAATATATTGCTTTTATGTACTGATGTTTGTTTTTGTCTTATACCTTGGGAGGTACATTTATATTCCCAACTCCAAGTGCTGTTGTTTCACATTTATATTGAGGGATGGTACCTCCAGAGAGAATATTAACCCTATACCCATCCTCCATATATGCCTTTTGATTTCAATACCTCTATTGATCCAGCGAGGACGGTCAGGACCCAGACAACTGCTAGTAAAAGCCATACTGAATTCGATAACTAGCGCCCAAAAACCTATAACGCACTTACGTGTAACTGTAATATGCTGAAACTGGACTTGACTGGGCACAGCTCCCATGTTTCATTTTCGAGGAACATTCGGAGCTCTTCAAGCCGTGTTCTGAAAAACAGATAACACGCTGCAATTAACGGAGGGCAGAAAATGACAATGACAACATAAAAACATTGTGAAAGTTCATAATGGCCTGAAACCTGAGGCCTAATCTCTTTTGACTGGAAAATGAATAAATTAGCAGTAACATGAAAATGCCTTGAACAGATGGGACAAAGAATCAGTGATTCGAGAGACACAGAGGACAGCAGAGGACTTAAACACTAAAAAGCTTTATTCTATCATTATATTTATCCTGTGCACTTTACCGAGTACAAAGGAAAATGACAATTCATTAATCTTTCAGAACCACCCAATTGAATTGCTTTTGAGGCGCCCTCTTAACAGAAAGGTTTTGGGGACTTGTACTACACAAACATATTGCTGCAAATAAAGAGAAACAAAAATTGCAATTATAATTGCGCTAAATTGGTCAAGACATACTAATGTGACTGCATGCTATCCCC